GAGTGCATATGGAATTTTAATGGCTCATTCACGACGCCAACATCGATTATGATTGTATGGTAAGACAGCTTCGTCAGGACAGCAAGGAGAAAACAGGTCCTATTGATACCTGGTGCGGGCCACTGTGTTACGAACGACGTGATGTAAATTAGAGGCTTGCTGGAATTCAGTGGGTTGGAGCCGATATCGACTCAAACAGCCCGTGTCTCTTGACCGCTCCCAATCTCTTAGCTTGCAGATATGCAACGAACATCGACATTTCTGGCTACTGCAAAACGCCTGCCTCAGTTTCTGCTTGTATTAATGACCACGAACTACATCTTACGAGAGCCTGGTCAAGTCCCTTCGAGCGGCGACACCTCGAAATGATTACATCGCAAAACGTAGCTGCTGCTCAACTCTGAGCGTACTTAGCCCAGTTGACCCGAGGCTCGGCTTCTTTCCACCCCTTATCGTCCCAGGGACCAAGCCCGCTCAAGTGTCTCATTGTTGGTCGCCCATGCGGACAGTTCCAAGGCTTGTCCAGCTCACCCATGTGGCGAATGAGTTTCTCCATTTGTTTCTGTGCCAAAGCTTTTCCGATCATAACACTGCTGCGGCACGCTCTCATGGCGAACATGGAGCGCACCTTGGATGGCCGCGGGACAGACGAGCGGGCCTCGGTTAAGTGGTGGTCACCAAGCAGAGAGATGAGTTCTTCGAGGTCGGACAGCGTGAAGGTCGTTTCACGGCTCAGGGGGAGAGCGAGAAGCTTGCACCTAGACCCTACCGCCTGATTGCCTGAGCTGTCTACACTAACCTTGAACCCGTTGACGTCCAAGGCTGGAATATTCTCCATGACTATCTCCTCCTCCAAGGCCGTGAGCTCTAGTTGTTTTGGGTGCACTAAACGTTGTGACTGGACGACCGTCGTCGACTGCAGCCTCTCAAAGTTATATTTTTCGTCTGACGCATGTTGGTCAATGATAAACAACTCATCGTCCCCCGAGGGATCTCTCTCCCCGTCTCTCGTCGCGTTACGGACAGCAATGATAAATCCTAAATTGAACTGGCCGACAATAGTCATTTTGGCAAAATCTGATTTCGATATGATCAGGGACAAAACTTCTTCAGCATCGTCTGCCTCGATACCGCAGGCCATTGTAGAGCGGCTCCGCGGCGGGGTGGCGCGTTCTAGCTCTGCTTTCCATACATGGATGCGAGACTGCAGGCCTGCTGCATCGGTCTTCAAGTCTTGGTTATGCTGTAGAGTGGCGTCCTTTCGTTTGATACCCCCCTTGAGAATGTTTGACCTGTGATCTGCGTATTTGGCTTGTTTGGACAAATCTTGCTTTTCACCATTGTCCGTTGTTGACACTACCGCCAATCCATTGCTGGGCTCAGGCGACTCAACACCTGAATTGGCAGTCGGACTTGAGAGCTCATCGAGGACTCCAGAAGTTGCTGGGACTTTCTCGACAGTAGCATCGTCCATCAACTCGTCCAGGGGTGAACCATTCGGCCGATTGTCCTGGTTAGACCCTTCATTATCCGAGTCGGCATCTATACTAAAATCGGCTTGCGTTGATAATTTGACACTTTCTTGACTTTTCTTTCCGTGCCGAACCGAGTGGTCCGCTGAAAACATCTGGGATAGGCGCGAGCCAAAAGAGGAATTCGCTGTCGCAGAAATTGTCAATGGTTTGAATGCAGTCGTCTTTGATGCCAGCCCTGGCAAAGGCGATATCTCTGACCTAACTCTGGTTCTCTTAGGCGTGGTCTCAATAGAGCTTGTAACCGTGCTTTCGCCAATGGTTACTGTCGCAACCTCCGGAGCTGACCGCTTAGGTAGCCGAGGGACTGGTGTAGGTGCAAGATGCCCATCTCGTGGCGTTCGAAGCGGTGTTATGGCCGGAATTTGAGCTTGTTCTTTACGTTCGGTCCTAGCACTAAGCCGCAAGCTATTGATGGGGGACATAGCTGTGCCATCATTGTCGACGGCTTCGGCAAGTCGAGCGTTGAAGTCAAGGACTTGCTGAGGTGTCTTGGTAGTAACAGCGCGAGCTTCAGGTTGGGTCGTCGGAGACCCAGGAGTGTCCCCAGCTGCTTCGTTTTCCAAACCAGACACGTCGGATGAGAGCAGCGCCGGCGGGTTCTTTATGCTTGTTTCATTCGCAGGAGAAACCCTAGAATGAGATCGTGTCTCTCGTTCCTCGCGTTCTACGTTTTTATCGTTTGTTGTTCGCCCAACCCACCGGCTGATCAAGCTCTGTGACTGGATGTCTGCAGGTGTAAGCTTCCTGATTTTCGAGGTACGAGTCCTCTTTCTTGGCTTATCACAAGGGAAAGGTTGGTCATCGTCCTCGCTGCCGTAGTCGGAGCTGAAACCATCATCAGGAGTTGAGCTTGCTGCCGGTTTCCGGCCTCCCTTCTCGTTGTCGGGAATGTCGTTCTGAGCAACAGCCACGATCCTGCTTGGCTGAGCCCTTTGCGTTGACTGCTGGGCGGCCGGAACAGGGTAGTCCTGAGACTGGAAAAGAGATGCTAAAGCCTCCTTCAGAGACTCTAACATGCGGTTCTGGTCGTGCAACATAATGGTGCGCTTATCCGGGCTAACGTTGACGTCGTACAAGTGGGTGTCAAGTTGAATGTCTGCAAATATGAAAGGGGACTGCGACGCGTTGTAGGCTCTGTAAACTTCGTTGAAGACCTTGGCAAACTGAGGCAGCCCGCAAGGTCTGCCATTGACGAAGAACATTTGTCGATCAGGTGTCTGACGACCTTCCCCGTGGGCCGGCCGACTCACGTAGCCCTGGACGCGCACCTCGGTAGAGACCTGATTGTCCTTAACAGCTGACTTCAAGGCAGGCCCACTAGTAGGCTCGAACTCGAGCGCCAGGTCGAGAGGGACCAAAACAGTCATTGTTTTAGCACCGAAAATGTTTACAAGGTTCTCGCGCGTAGTGGGATTGCCCTTTGTAGAAAAGAGGACGATACGCTTGCCCTTTGTGGGCTGTTGCGACACGGAGAATTTGACACCTGTCTGGATACAGGCATATTGGTTCAAGAGCGCGATGACTTTGTTCCATTCCCGCTTGATATTGCGCTGCAGCTCGCGGCGGCGCACGGGAAGGTTGTGGAAGAGATTCTCGACAATGACGTTGGTGCCTTTCTGGGCGGCAACAACATGCGTCTCTTTGAGCTTTCCCGAGGACTCGAAGTCAAGCTTGGTGCCTTTTGGGACATCCTTGTCCATGCATGTAACAATGCTGAACTGCGACAGGGCAGACAAAGACGACAGGGCTTCCCCACGGAAACCAAATGTTTCAAGGGTACTGAGGTCGGAGTAGGTTGAGAGCTTGGAGGTGTAATGCTTCAGGGCTACATTCGCGTAGTTGTCAGGAGATATGCCTGAGCCATTGTCCTGGACTTCAATGGAGTCTAGCCCCTGGTTCTTGAAGCGCACATCTAGGGGAGGTGAATACACAAACCAGAATTAGAAAGGTAACGGCAGGGGGGTTTGGATGGGTGAGCATTGAATGGCCGTACCTATGCTAGAAGCGCCGGCGTCAATGCTGTTCTCTACTAATTCCTTAACGACGGAGCAGAGATCGACGATGACTTGGCCGGACTGAATTTGGTGGACCTTCAAGGGGTAAGACAATGTCAGTACGATCAACGAGGGCTTTCCGTAAGGCATGAGATGCCAGGGGTAATGCTCACTGTGCGGTCCTCTATGGGTTTGATTGTGGGCATTTTTACGAAGCTTGGGAATTGATGTCCAGTGCTGCATCACTTGTATGACGCCCAGGCTACTGTCCTGTCACAGGCAAGATCGATTAGTATCGAACAGAAGACGTCTCTTCCATAAACCTCGCATTCATGAACTAAACAACTCAGGGGAGAGCAGGAGTGTCGAGGTAAAGTAATGGTGAGTGTCGAGAACGACACCTTGATGATCACCACGTCAGACGCGTGGAAGGTAGACGTGATGTTACGCGTAAAGTAATAGTCCGGCAATTCTTAGTGGTTTCATGGACGGCATGGAAATAACAGCTGTAGGACTCATCTAGAGCCAGCTGGTAACAGCTGGTCCTTATGTCAGATAGAACAGCAACAGTAACAACAATAACAACAAGAATCCGGTTCAACCCTTCCAGACGCGATTAGGTAAGGGGATATACGAATACTTGTAGTGTCCGTACACGTATGACACAGCCAAGCCGTCATCTCTAACGTCTCTACGCTCTTCTCGTGTGCGAAAATGCTTGAATGTTGGGGGGCACCACTCGGCCAATCTGTTCCCATGGACTCAGCTGCAAGCGCCTGAGAAGCAACGCCTCGAAAACCGATGTCCACCTAGGCCGGCATTCTCTGCAGAAGACAACACGAGAAATTGAGAGTCCATGAATGGCCAAACCTAGCAACTTCACGTTAATTTTGCTATGACCAAGACATCAGCGCCTGTCATATGGGCAAAGTCGCACACTGGTGCAGTACCGACTGCCCCATTGGACCATCTTGTTATACTGTGGCCGACATGCCTCACTCCTTGCTTGGGAGGCGTCGATAAGTAGCGTAATCGTCAACCGATGAATCGCTGCCCTTGTCGTCCCTTGCAGCCGATAAGGTAAAGTCAAAAAGCCTTTCCATACCCGATATTCCAACGTGTCGCTTGTTGCAATTAGGCTGCTTTCTTTCGCAAAACCCATCGACCTTTGAGGGTCTACATACGACACAGAGCAACCAAGGGCTATTAGGGGATGAGTTCATGAACAGAGACGAAAGCCACAAGGACGGTAATTAAGCCACACATGTCCTAGCAATTGCGTCTCTGTAACATGCCACGGCATAGATCCTGGAGGCATGAACATACCCAGACACGGGCATTGCGCGGACATGGACATTGGCATCGGCATGGGTGTGGATCTGTAATGGTAGGGTTATCTGGCGACGGTCCACTCTGGAGTTAGCCCCTAGAGCCCTGGCTGGGCGCGGCCGATAGGGTGGCCAGCTTACATGCAATGATGCCGTGGCTGGTCGGCCTTTGTCGTCTTGCAGTGTCGTGCAGATGGAAACATTTGAAAATGTTAGTCTGGGACGGGGACACTCGGCTGGAAATGACCACTAGTAAGTTTCTCTGGTCATGCAATCCAGAAAGCATAGTAGCTTGCCGTATTATCACATTTCTGTGGCAAACCAGGCGGTTTCGGAGCCCTAGTAGCATCGCAACTGCGCAAGACTTGCGCTAATGATTTCAATCTGATTACTGGAATGCATGTTATTGAAGAGGCTGAATCTCGGTCTTGTATTCGATTTGGCTTCGGAGCAGAGAACATTCTTCTGCGGCCCATGGAAAATCAATGCATGACAGTAGCATCGAAATCGGCCGCCAGAGTACGGCCCAACCAATTTATGAGAAAGAGGGGTCAAAACCAAAGTTGCAAATGTGAGAATCGGGGGTTGGGATACAAGGGTTGGCAGATGGAAGAGGAGGATAAACAAAACAAAACAAAACAAAACAAAACAGCCGTCATCATTCGTACGGACGGGCAAGAGGGCGACCGTGAATTGACCGACACAGACGACACGACGTTTGCTGGAGAAACAAAAAGAAAATGTTTCACGTCATGTTGGGAAGGGGGGGAGGCGGCCATGGGCGGTTGCGAGAACCAGGGATGCCTGGCTAGCTCGGAGAATATATCAATGAGAAGAGTGAAAAACAAGGCAAAGGGGATGAAGTATGTACTATGTATGGCGTGTAGCTGCGCTAACTTACCTATCTCAAAGATATACCTAGGTAGGTAGGTAGCTGCCGAAGTCTCCCACTTTCTTTCTCTGCATGGGTCGAGTCCAGGTGCTTCGGGCAGTTGACAGAAAGCATTTGCCGCCAGAGCTGTTTTCGCCCTCCCGCCCCCTCGTTTTCAAATCTCTTTCTTTCTTTCTTTTGCGGAATCTTGTGTTCTCTGTCACGGTTTAAAATGCACTCTACAGAGAAGCTCTCACTGAAAGTACAGAGGACCTGCTTAGACCACCCAACATACCTAGCTGCCTAGGTAGATATATATCTAGGGAAAAAGCCCTGAGTTGACCGACCCGAGGGAGGGGAGTGCTTCCACGTGCCCTGCGTTGAGAAAAAAGCATATCGTCCAACGCCATGTTGCGTACAAGTAAGTACGTATATGGAGGCCTACCAACCAACTGCCATGCGACTCGACGCGCCGAAGCCATGGATACGTGACGTGTACTTGGTCCAGCAGCAGAAATTAGACGTGCACCAAAGTAGCTCAAAAGTGTCTCAGTATCAAGGCTGTCGCTGCTGGAACAACTGCAGCAATTGCTTCAGTGCAAATGCGCGTGTCGAGCCATGGTTCAGTACAATGTATTTTGCCTAGGTCAAGTACTCCAAAGATACCTTGGTATACTTTGGGCTTGCTGTCTTGGCAGCATCAAATTCACCTCATAAGGCGAATCTAACTTGCACTTGACACACACCTTATCTGAGCGTGGCCTACCTAACCTATCTTGCATTGGGAGCTGACATTGCCGCAAGAGCACTAACACCAGCAACCAGGTACAATGTCAGTACTTTAGGGCCAGTGACTGTAGCGATAGCCTAGCCTCGACAGCACCCACTAGCAGCATATCTACCTACCTACAGGTAGGTAGCCTGCTGCCACAACCATCACTTCGCCCAAAGAGAGCACGTTCTTTTTCCTTCTTTCTTTCGTCCATTCCTCCCGTTAACGTCTGTCCCTCCTTTGTCGTCGTCGTCGCCGCCATCGCCGTCCCTTGTCGCTCCCTAGGTTTTCTCTGCCGGTTCCCTACTCTCCTGGCAGCCTAGAGCTAAGCTATCCCTCTCTCGAGGCTCGATATACCGAACGAACGCTTCCTTTCCGTGAGAGACTCGAGCGAGCCCTCTCTACCCATGAAGAGGCGCTCGTCGGGTTCGACCGACGACAGCGACGAACCTCCTCACCCCGACCCTCCTGCCATCCGACCCCAATACCACTACCAATATCAACACGGCCAACCCTCCCCAGGCTGCAATTTTGCATCACCACCACCACCACCATCACCACTATCTCGCGTCCCCAAGCAGTCTGTTATCGTCGCCGCAGTTGCTGTCGCCTCGAGGCCTTCGTCGGCAAGGAGTAGACGCTCAAATAACCCCAATTGGAAGCTTGAACATGGCCCGAATGCGAATGGATCACCCGAGAACCATTCCTTGACTGCGTCTTCCTTGCCACCCCCCCTCTCGTCTTTTTCCTTGACTGCGCCATCGCCTACTTATCGAAACGACCACCGCCAACTCCCAAATCATACACACTCCCAAGCTCCTGGCGCTGAACGCCAGACCCACCAGGAAGACGTCGTCAGTCTGTCAAACGCCCAAGACGACGACGACGACGTCAACGACGGCGACAACTCCTCTCGAGACGACCCGATGGCAACGACTTCCGAGAAGATGCCCGACGTACGCTTCGCAGGTCGCCGCTCCCGTTCTCGCAGCCCTTGGTCCATCACCATTTTCGCTTTGGCTGTCACCGTTCTTGGCATCACCCTGCTCTGCGCCATCTTGAACTCGTCTTGGACTCGCCAGATCGACGCAAAGGGATGCCGCATGTCCTACATGCGGCCCTCTTACATTCGTCTGCACGACTTCGACACCGAACACACTCGCTTTGCCACGAAGTACTCACTGTACCTATACCGTGAGCAAGGCGTTGACGACGAAAGAAAGGTGCCCATCCCCCCTCCCCAAAAATCCACTTCCCCTTAGCTAGACGGGCCGCTAATTGTTTGCAGTTGAGAGGCATCCCTGTACTCTTCATTCCAGGCAATGCTGGAAGCTACAAACAGGTTCGGCCGATAGCAGCTGAAGCTGCGAATTACTACCACGAATCTCTCCAACACGATGAAATTGCCGCGGCCACCGGCACTCGGAGCCTTGACTTTTTCACCGTTGACTTTAACGAAGACATCACCGCCTTTCATGGACAGACAATGTTGGACCAGGCAGAGTACTTGAACGAGGCCATCAGGTACATTCTGTCCCTGTACATGGACCCGCGCATGTCTGCGCGTGACCATGGTCTACCGGATCCCACCTCTGTTCTCGTTCTTGGTCACTCGATGGGTGGCATCGTTGCGCGCACAATGCTCATTATGCCAAACTACCAGTCCAACTCGATCAACACCATCATCACCATGTCTGCTCCCCACTCGCGTCCTCCTGTGACCTTTGACGGGCAGATCGTGAAGATATATGACGATATCAACGACTATTGGCGTCATGCCTACTCTCAAAAGTGGGCCAATAACAACCCGTTGTGGCACGTTACTCTTGTCTCGATTGCTGGGGGCGGCTTAGACACCGTGGTCCCATCCGACTATGCTAGCGTCGAGTCGATAATCCCCGAGACGCATGGTTTCACTGTCTTTACCACTGGCATACCTGGCGTCTGGACTAGTATGGACCATCAGGCCATTCTTTGGTGCGACCAATTCCGCAAAGTCGTTGCTCGGGCCATGTACGACGTCGTCGATGTCCACAGATCTTCGCAAACTAAGCCGAGGGCAGAGAGAATGAGAGTCTTCAAGAAATGGTTCCTTACTGGCATGGAATCCATTGCGGAAAAAACTCTACCTTCAGAAGGACCAAGCACGCTTCTTACTCTCGAGGACAATTCCAACGCGATCATGGCGCAGGGCGAACGCCTAGTTCTGCGGCAGCTTGGGCGCGAACCGAAACCACGTGCTCATTTGCTTCCTGTGCCCCCTCAGGGATCTCCAGAAAGCAAACGATTTACTCTTCTGAGTGACACGGCTCTAGATAAACCAGGAGAACACGGAAAGTTGGAGGTCTTGTTTTGCAGTGTTTTCCCGCTACAGCCCGGCCAAGCGACAACCTTGTTTTCAATGAACATGGATCTCTCAGGAGACAGTACTGGGTCGACCAGGTTAGCATGCAAGAACGCTGCGCCCGACGTCATCTTGCTACCTCCTTCGACGGAATCTCGTCATGAGCCGTTTTCTCTGGACAACGAGCCGGTAACGAGGCCATTCTCGTATCTCCAGTTCGACACCGAAGACATCTCCGATCACCAGTTTGTGGCCATCGTGGATAAAGCTATCAAACCAACTCGAAGCTTTGTGGTGGCCGAGTTTAGCGACTACTCTCAGTCTCACAGACGGCGAAATATCAGCCTACGCCGACTCCTCGCGTTCGGGATGACATTGAGCCTCCCATCAAACCGTTCCATGGTTGCGGAAATCAATATTCCCACCCTCCAATCCAGCCTTCTCGCTTACAGCTTGGAGATGGGCAACCAAGCGTGCGGCCCTACTTCAGGGCTCTTCTCCCCCATGATTCGGCAGCACCTGGCTCAGCCATACGAGTCCAAGTTTTTTGTCAATGCGAGGCATGCCAGCATCAGCATGCATGGCGTAGCCCCCTTTGTTCCGCCTCCCCTGAGGCATAAGGGGCATGACGAGCAGGGCCTTAGTCTTCAGTTCTGGACCGACCCGACATGCGAATCCGCTATCCAAGTCAAACTGACGGTTGACGTATTAGGCAGTCTGGGTAAGCTGTACATGCGCTATCGAACTGTATTCGCAGCTTTCCCACTGCTCGTGGTGACCCTTGTGCTTCGCAAACAGTTTCGTGTATACGACACCACTGGCACGTTCATCTCTTTTTCTGAGAGCCTCGACCTCTGCTTGCGGCAGTCACTGCCTCTTATGCTTCTTTCTTTGACGTTTCTCTCCTTGTCAATGACAGGATCCTGGTCGTCGGGGCCGGGTGTGTTTTGGCACTGGCGTAACACAACGTCAACTGCGGCTGCTTTTCACAGCAACGACCTTCTTACCGGCACTCAAGATCCTTTTTTCTGGTTTCTGACCCCCCTTATCGGAGTTGTCTGCATCGGTGTATGCGCAGTCCTTCACTATGTTACCCTGGCTTTGACCCAGCTCCTCGGAATCGTCTACTCGCGGTTGGCTCTTCGATCCTACGGCCAGGCGAGAGACGAGCGCCGGCGAGCGCAGCTACCGGCTTTTGTCGCTTCGTCACCCCGCCGGCGCATGGTCACCACAGCGGTCCTTCTGTTCCTGGTGTCCACCTTTATCCCTTACCAATTCGCTTACTTGGTAGCATGCCTCGTCCAGCTCTTTACTGCTGTCCGCGCACTCCGGATTGCCTCGGAGCTCAAGTCCGGGCCGACCTTCGCCTTTTACCATTATGCTCACTCAATCTTGCTTCTCATGCTTTGGGTCCTTCCTATAAACCTGCCGATACTGGCCGTGTGGATCCGCAACCTCGCCGTCCACTGGCTTACACCGTTCTCCTCGCATCACAATGCACTCTCCATTATGCCCTTCATCCTTCTTGTGGAGAACCTGACGACGGGCAAGATGGTGCCTAGAGTGAGTGGAAGGATGAGGCACCTCACCAGCGTGCTTTTGTTTGGCACTGCCATCTACGCTGCAATTTATGGTGTCTCGTATGCCTACATGCTACACTATCTTGTCAACTTCATAGCTGCATGGTTAGTTGTGGTCCACTCGACAAATGATAATTGGCCCCTCGCCGGCTTCAGTTCGATATTCGAAAACAGTCACGTCGAAGATCGCAAGCGTGGCAAGACGCCATAACGGCAAAGCTAACACTCGGCTATTTTCTAAAACTGCCATGTTATTGGCAATGGCAGTTCGGTCAAAGAGACCTTCAGCTTCCTAAAAGCGGACTTTCAATTCAACTACCCCACGATGTATATACGACAAATGCCCGGCTCGCCAGGCCTTACTTTTAATACGGGTTCGTAACGTAGAAGATCCGAGAGCCTTCATTTCTTTTGATATAGACGGTCTCAACTATGTGTAACCAACCTCAAGCAGGCCTTTGTCTTGACTTCAGAGTGGATATATGAGGCCTTCGACCACAACACATGGGCGTTGGCATAATGTTTTCAGTTATCATTATTTGTTATTCTGCATCTTGCATTGGCTGGAGTTTGAACGGTTCGTGCGTTTTGGCTGGAGGCACCGAAACGCGTTTTTTCCCCTTTCTTTTTTCTTCTTTGCCATGGAACTTCGGAATCGTCTCCAGGCTCTTTCTTAGTCTTCCCCATTTGGCCTCGGCCTGAGGAAGTACAGCGTTACAACAAGGCGTCATCCCGGATGTTTCTGTGGGAAGGATTACGGGCTAGAAAGGATGAGCTTCTTTTCGCTCGATATTTTATATAATGTCATGACGGGCTTTCTTTTTGGGGTTTGGATCCCGTCCCTGAGTCTAATTTAGTAGCGGCCCTGAGGAAGCTTTACATTCTCTACACACGAAAGGGGAGGAGGCCTGCTCTGATCTAGAGCGCACGCCAGGGCACAGCAGTGGAAGAGCAAGTTATACCTTGCGTAAGGAGACGCACTGAGTTGCAGGTGGCGGCAATTGCCCATCACAGATACTCGATCTAGAATGCTAGATCAATTCTGCTGCTACTGTTGAGATTATGCGAATGTAACTGTGGCCTATCATGTGCTGAAGAAGTCACAATTTGTTCTGTGAAGTGCCTGATCTGGTCACTTGTTTAAACCCTCAGCCACGGAAACAGCACCTTGAGAGTCATAGTCATAGTGGGGAGGTGGGAGAAGGCCTTGGGAGAAACAACCGGAATAACTCCTATTGAACTGTGTGATGAATGGTGCGATAATGCATGCCAGCGAGGCAACCCACAACGCCGATCCTCTATCCCTTGTCCTCAGTCGCCGCATTGTAAGGTCTAGAATGGCGAACCGCTATCCGATGCCTATGCATCCTTGGTTTCTTGACATGCACAAGCTCTTGGGGCTCGCAAAAAGCAGCATCACATCTCTATTATGCAGCTGTATTGCATCTTCCCTACTTATCATGTTTCCAACATCTGTCTTTGATGAGACCTTCAGTCATCCTGTTCAGCCTTGCTCTTTTCTTCCTTGGCCCATTTAAGTCGCTGGTGGTAGATAACCCATAGCGTAAGGATCAGACCAACGGAGCATGCCCCGAGTGTCATCAGGTACGCTGCGCGATAGCATTCAAGCCCTTCGTGACAAACACGCTCGCCTTCCGGCCCCAAAACACTATGCTTGTCGTAGATCTTTCCATAGAAAATGTTGAACACGTTACCCGAGACAACAGGTGATAGCGTCATCAAACCCCAGTTTTGGCTGAGCCCGTGGATTCCGAACGTTTCGGCTACGATGGAGGGGAATACTCCAAAAAGGAAGCCGTACGCAATGCCAGAAAGACCAGAGACCAATCCAAGCAAGTGAGGGTTAATGACGTGGAGAGCCAGAATTTGAGCTACGAAGAAGACGGCACTGGATGCTACAAGGCACCAGACTCGACTGCCGTTGAGCCGCTTGATCAAGTCCGAGCCGACGCCTTGGTGATTCAAATCAGCTAGTGCTTCATGAGAGTTTGGTAACTACGGGTGGTGATGATCATACCGCTAAGGAGTCTGCCAGCAAAACTGCATACTGACAAGATGGATACGTGCATCTGCTGCCTTGTGATGAGATACGCCTCATCTACAGACTCGTCCCAATGGCGCCAAAGGGCTTTAACGTCGTTCCCAATGTTGCTAGAGGCGAACGTCAACTTCAGTCTATGGATAGGCCTATAGATAGTATTGCGAGATTTCGAGACTTACTTGATGGTCATCAGGCCGATACCAGTGAGGGTTCCCATGATAATGAACAACTGCCAAAAATCGATCTCACGCAGAAGTGCCCAACCACGAATATCTATTCGATGAGAACGATCCAGATCAACACTACTCTGCACAAAGATATCACCGGGCATAGAGGAGGAGCTCGACACCAGCGAGGACGTCTCGTTGGGCTCATAATCATCGGCATCGATGTCTTCGATTTGCGCCTCATCAGCCTCGAGAGACGGCGCAGACGGTTCGTGTTCTGGCTGGACTGGCTCGTAGTGGGTGGTGGCAGTAGCAGTATTGGCAACTTTTAGCGACGTACCAGGTTCAATCAGGGAGGCGCTGTGTCCATGACCAGTGCGATTGGGTTTGGCCTCTTCCGAGGACGTACGACGAAGCTGCTGCGAGCCAGATAGGACATCATCGGTGGGCACGCTGTGATAATTGGCATGGGGCCAGACACGCAAGAAAAAGAAGCCGAGGAAAGTCAGCCCGCAGGTTCCAAAAGAGAGCAGAGCCAGAAAGGCACTTGTGTTTCCTGGGAAAAAGATTGTTCCAAAGGTCGAGAAAAAAAAGGCACTCAAGCCAAAAGCTGCCAGAGGAAATGCCGTTGCGGTGCCCCGGTGATGCGGCCAGTTCAAAGCAGATGTCTTCACGGCCGCTGCAAAGGCCAGACAGCCACCGAGGCCACTCAGATATGAAAAGAAACAGAGGAGCGGCACCGGCGCAGCGGCGCGATCGTAAGCGATATGGAAAGGGAAGTATCCAAGAGCGAGCAAGATGGAGCCGAGGATAACTGCAAGGCGAGGGCCTTTGTGGTCAACGAGTATGCCGACGGGAACGCCTAACGAATACATTCCCAAATTGGCGGAGAGGCCAATGACGTTTGTTTCGGTCGAGGAAAGCTTAAGTCGCTCAGCGAATTGAGGCGCCCATGCTGAGTAAACGTACTGAATGCAAGCGGCATGTTAGCAATAAGTTTGAATACAGATTTCATGGCAGATGCTGTGGGAAGGGAAACGATCCAGTCGCGCCAACTCACGTTGGTACCGCACGCCAGAGAGATGACGGTAGCTGCGACACTGGCGACCAGGCGCGCGCGATGCAGTTGTTTCTCTCGTTGATTTGCCATGGTTCCTATGGCCCCGGGAATCGACGTAAAAATGCAGTCTCTCAAGATATCATGCTTCGAGTTTCGGGGAGGAGCACAACGGCAATCGGTGGTCGGCGGCTGACAACAGCGAAGATCGGGGACCAGCAGCGATGACGGCGATGATTTGGAGCCTTTGCGTAGAGTTGGCGTGAATGTGCGGTATGGTTGGTTTAGTGTACTATCGGAGGCGCCGAGTTCATAGCTATACGGATGAAGCCAACAATACGCAACATAAAAAACAGGCGCCGCAAGGAGGATTCGAGATTTGGTATGTGTAGCAGGATAGAAGGAAGATGCGGCGGATTGGTATTTGGGGAGAAAGAGGAGGGGCAAGAGCGGAGGCGGTTGAGGGCTCCGGGAAGCTTTGCGGACAGGAAACGATACGGGGAACAATGCCGGATCCCTTATCTTTGGGATCGGAAATCACGAAACCCTTTCGTAGTGCAGATACCTATCTACTAGGTAATCACCTCCCTGCCTTTGCCGATGGCATGCCCCCTCCTTGGTCGGAGCTGCGGTACAGGAAGTTCACTGCCGAAAAGGTTAACCGGCTGCGTAACGAGTACCGATGGTGGTGCAAATATTACATATTATATACGTAAAGAGCTTAGTACCCGGTACATTGAAGTGGGCTTGGGTTATCTTGGCTCGACGCCGTGCAGCGTACTGCGCAAGGTCACCAGCGCATGTGTCAACTAGATGGGGCTCCCTCCTCCAGTGCCCCTTCCAGCCCCTGCTTTTGATCCCCATGCGTTGCCGTTCTCGCCGCCTGACAGCTGACAGGCGTGAAACCTCTCTGTGCATGTCCCGACGTATCAAATACGACACCAGCCAGTCGAGCACCACCCACTCACTAGTTAGTCCGTCTCAACATGCCTTTGTGCAGCTAGCTGTGTATAAACCAGCCCCGCTGTTAGTTCTTCATCTGTATAGGGCTGGTTCGTGCGATACGTAGCGATGGCTCAGTCATTTGACCTCATTCCTAGGCATCATACACGGAGCAGCGGAGGGTTGTGGAGTAGTCGGACTGCACCTTGAAGAACAGGAAAATGTAACAATTCACTGCGAGCAATACTTCCCAAAGTTTAGTCAGGGTCTGTGATCCACAGCGGCTTGGCGCTTATCGACGAAATGCCCATCGACCATTCTACGAAATTCACGGCTGTGGCTTCGCAAACTTCTAGAATTGAGCCTTCTTACTTACACTTTGTACATTCGAGTAAGGGAGGACTGATAACATAGCGCGATGCTGATTTGTACCTTGCACAATCAGTGCGACTGAAGATGTGGATTCAACTGATAACGGTTTTCGAACCAGGCAAAACGCCTTGAGATGCAGTTTCCAAGACACGTGTAGAGGCCGAAACGCTGGAGCAAAGGGTAGAGAGGAAGCCCGCTGCTATGACCGGGCAACATTGGGCAAAACAGAAGCCTTGCCTACTGATGAGAGTGTGGCACGGGTTGCGTTGGTATCTGGAGATTCAACGTCTTAGCACGTTACGGTGTCTTGCGGACGGATTGGCATGAGCTAGATGTGCTTCGTCCGGGCGTTGGAATGGAATGAGAAATACTGAGCTTGTGCGCAGTTCCACTCAGGTCTTCGCGATAAGCGGGTTTAGCAGGGAAGGTGATGGATGATGTGCCAAATCGGAAGGTGGTTGTACGGCTGTGTGTCTGTTCAAGATGTTGGGAATCGGTGCATCTTTGCATCTGTGCATCGGTGCCGATGGCGGAGGTTGGCCGACTTCGGCAGAGAGGTTCTGGAAACTAGGGTGGGATCCGGTAAGGAAGTCGTGAGTGTCACAATCCCCGGCTCATTGGGGTGGCTCGGGAGTAGGGGGGGTACGTAATCTCACGTGCACCCTGAGCCTCCATCGCCCAAGCCACCCCATTTCTCTAGTTGTTGAGTCGGCTTTCAGACTGCGCAAGTGCAAGGCTTCCGATTCCAGCCTCGAATCACGACAGTTGTTACAATACGACAGACACCACCAAAACCACCGTTCCCATCAATCCTTTACGACTCCTCCGCACCCTCCTGTACATCGTGCACGACCGGTCGCGCTTCTGGCACCATGGGTGCGTTGCTGTCTTTACCGTTGATGGCGGTACCGAGTATGGGCACGGTATGTTGCATCACTTCTGGCACATGGCTTCCATCGCGATAAGATCATCGCCAGCTAACACCATAAAGGCCATAGGCTTTGCTGCCAGTTGCTGCGGTGCAGCAACATGCTCAGCTGTATGCAGCGCCTGTGGAAAATGCGGCAACAGGTGCGTTTATCGGTGTTACGCGAATCGTGCTGGTCCTAACAATGCCCGCAGTGTCGCCACCCGCATCGGATACGCCCTCATACTCCTCGTTAACTCGATCCTGTCTTGGATAATGCTTACTCCGTGGGCTATCAAGAAGCTCGAACATCTCATGCTCGATTACGTCAAGATTGACTGCCCCAACGGTCAGTGTTACGGTTGGATGGCGGTCCACCGCTTCAACTTTGCCCTTGGCCTCTTCCATCTCATCTTTGCCGGCCTCCTTTTCGGTGTTACATCTTCCAAGAATCCACGCGCCGCCATTCAAAATGGTTACTGGGGCCCCAAAGTCATTGTTTGGCTCGCCTTTGTTGTCCTTTCTTTCCTGATCCCCGACGAGTTCTTCCAGTTTTACGGCGCCTACATCGCTCGCTTTGGGGGGATGTTGTTCCTCATCCTCGGCCTCATCCTGCTTGTTGATCTCGCACACAATTGGGCCGAATACTGCCTCGAACAAATCGAGGATACCGACTCCAAGGTCTGGCGGACAGTGCTCATTGGCTCGACTTTGGGCATGTACCTTGCCTCGCTTGCCATGACCATTGTCCAGTATATATTCTTCGCTGGGTCCGGCTGCTCCATGAACCAGGCGGCCATCACCGTCAACCTCTTGCTCTGGATTGCCATTTCATTCATTTCGGTTCACCCCACAGTTCAGGAGTACAATCCCAAGGCTGGCTTGGCCCAGGGCGCCATGGTCGCCGTTTACTGCACTTACTTAACCATGTCTGCCGTCTCGATGGAGCCAGACGACAAACAGTGCAACCCACTGGTGCGTGCGCAAGGCACTCGGACGACTTCTGTTGTTATTGGTGCTGTTGTCACAATGCTTACCATTGCGTACACCACCACGAGGGCTGCTACCCAGAGTCTTGGACTCGGCTCCTCCGGCGGCATCCGTCTTCCCGAGGAGGACGAACATGACCTTGTCACCCAGCAGCCCAATGGCCACAAGCAGATGCGAGCCGAGGCCTTGCGTCGCGCAGTCGAAGAGGGCAGCTTGCCGGCGGACGCCCTTTTGTCTGATGACGAGAGCGAGGCCGGCGGCAGTCATACTCACGGCGATGACGAGCGCGCAAGGACCCAATACAACTACACTGTGTTTCACGTCATTTTCTTCCTAGCAACGACATGGATCGCAACCCTGCTGACCCAAAGCTACGACGACCAGAATGCTGATGGTAACTTTGCCCCTGTTGGCCGGTCCTATTGGGCTAGTTGGGTTAAGATTGTCAGCGCCTGGGTCTGCTATGCCATGTACGCTTGGACATTGGTGGCTCCGGTCATTCTCCCTGACCGCTTCGACTTTTCATGAATACTCTTGCTGTTACATCATTGAGTCTTTTGTTCTTCCATGGCAGGTTGGAGTTCTTCTGGGGGTCTATTTGGGAGCATAGTTTGCAGTAGAAGCCTTCTCTGCGCATGGATCATATTTGATTTTGACCTCAACCGAGCCATGTATCATTTGAGACCGTTTAAACGTACTGCGTTGGAGGGGACGGCTGTTACGGAACTACGCATCCGTGTACAACACTAGTATCGCGCATGTTTACGTGTTGTAAAATAAGACAACGAGGCATACATAATACTCACTTGGGGATATGAGCCTCGAGTAGGAATTACGGCAAAAGCGATGATGTTATTTTCAAGTAACTCCACGCGATGCCGTGGCAGAATAAACTAAGCTTTTCCCTCCTTCCTTTTGCTTGTTCAACTTCATTGGCCTTGACTTTCTGCATTTTGTTTTTTTCTCTTTCTAACATATACCCGAGCGGTTTCACAGTCAAGTGCCATCATGTTGTAGATATGGAATTTCTTCCGCACTGGTGAAAAACCTGCGAGCCCACCCAGGTCTAGTCACACGGTGTTGTATTTCCGTGTCCGGTCACAACTTTCATGCCTCCTGGACAGACTGGGCCGCATGAAATCCCTCCAAAGTCACGTGGACCGCTCCCGCCTGGACGAGCTAGCGCGACAGTCAGCTTGGCTTAAGAGTGATGAATCAAGATAGCTACTCACGGCACGGGAGAGATCCTCAATCAAATCCGTAACGTCCTCAATGCCAACACAGAGCCGAATGAGATCCTCCGGCATTTGCCTCTCCTTCCGGGTCTTGGCGTCGATGCTGGCATGGCTCATTTGGCAAGGCATACTGATCAGACTGTTCACACAGCCGAAGCTCACGCTAATGCTGTATAGTTTAGCAGCTTCGACAATTCTCTCCGAGAGAGCGGCGTCGCCAGTCTCAAAAGACAGAACGGCGCCGGCGCCACGCGCCATGGACCAGTGCAAGTCATATTGAGGGTGGGATTTGAGTCCTGGATATCGGACCTTGAATCCATGGGACTCGAGGAATTCGGCGATTTGCTGAGCGTTGGTCTGCTGCTTTTCCATGCGGATAGCGAGCGTCTTGATACCTCTCATAAGGAGGAATGAGTCGTTGGGCGAAAGACCACATCCGGTGGCGTTAATGGTGAAGTACAGTTTGTCCCCAATGGACGAGTCATTAACACCAATCACGCCTGCCATGATATCATGGTGTCCAGATAGATACTTCGTACCCGACTCATACACAATATCAGCACCGATGTCCAGGGGGTTCAAGAGCATGGGCGAGAGCATAGTGTTATCAACAACAACCAAGGCTTTGTCGTTGACATCGTGCACAAGCTTGGCAATCGAGGGGATGTCGACGATCTTGATGAGAGGGTTTGTCGGCGTCTCGAGCAAAACCATAGCCGTCTTGTCAGAGACGACGTGGCGAAGGTTTTCCACGTTGGTGGTGTCAACATGGTGAACGATGATTCCCTGGTTAGAGGACAGGTACGCAAGCAGCCGGTTGGTACCTCCGTACAAGTCGTCGCCGGTGATGACCTCGTCGCCGGGGCGCAACAAGCGAGTAATGACATCTAGGGCACCCATGCCGGAACCAACGGCAAGAGCTCTCGTGGCGTTCATGATCTTGGCCAGATGGCGCTCGAGGTGGGTGCGGGTAGGGTTCCCTGACCTAGTATAATCGTACTCATTACCACCAGTGGCAGAGGTCTGCTTGAAGGTTGCGGACTGGTAGATGGGAATGCTGGAAGCGCCATACTGGTCGTTACTGTCAGTATAGACCAGCTCAGTGGCTAGAGCATAGCGGCGGCGGCCATTGCGAGGACTGGAGGGCGTCGGCGAAGGAGGGAGGTCATGGCCGTCGAGGTCAACCCGCTTTAGGGGATTGCTGGATTTGGCCGCAGCGCCGTTGTTGAGCGGTGTAGACATGATAAGATAGGCAGGTCGTGGCGATGGCGGGGTAGCGCAAGGTAGGTACTGCCGGCCGGCTTACTCAATTGAAAGTAGCGAGTGTGCCCAAAGTTGTCCTCGACTGATCGGGCTGACGATAAGCTACTGCACGTGAAGCGTCTGTGAGCTGTCGCAATTGATGATTGAAATTGACCAGGCGGAAACAGATGTTACGGACAGGCGTTGAATGGATCGAGTACAGTACTACCGCTGGCCTTTTAAAGAGCCAGACTTGTCGCCGCGGACAGAGTGAGTTGCTCAGCAAGTCAATTGTCCAAACGCAGCACCGGCGTACTCGGTTGAAGCAGGTGGTTGGTAGTAAGGATGAAGAAGATGTATGATTGTAGATGTATAGGAGAAGTTTTACTTTATCACCAAAGAGGGGAGGGACCGACCGGGCTTTTGGGGAGACGGGAGCGTGTGACTCCAGCAGCACTGACAACAACAACTGTGGATACCCCCGGATGACGTGATTTGTCGGTGTGCCCAGTGCCCCCCGAAAGTCGGCGATGGTGGGGCAGCCTGAGCCCTGGACATGGATGCGGAGGTTAAGAGCGGCGTTGGAATTGGTTAATGCATCTAGCGCATGCATGTAGTGTAGGACCAGGGCCATTAGTCGTCGGGACGTAAGGTTGGTATGGAGTACATATCACCTTATCAACAATGTCGGAGGGATTCGTATCTTAATATAAGCAGCCACTGTCCATCGAAACAACCCTAGAAAAGCTCGAGCTACCTAGGTGGCAGAACATGCACTCATAGAATCTGTCAATCAACAACGGCTTGTATAGCTTCATGGTCTAATAATATCCATGCATTACTAGCCCCGTACAGGTTGCACACTTGTCGTACAGAAACTGGCGTTGCAAGATGCTGAAGATTTTGGTCTTGCCCTTGCCGCGTAAATCTATCCTTGAAACCACAGAAAATCAAACAATCGTCTTCCGGTTCGACGCTTCTAACGTGGTCAAACAGATACACGCTTTCAAAACGTGCTGACACATAGTCCGACATTTGCTATTTACGTCGACTGATGTATTCCTTCTCACCCCAACTCCTCCACCATATCCTCGTACTCATCTGTTGCTGATGCCCCTGAAGCTTTCGTTGAATGCTTGGCATGATTGTCCATTAGAATCTGACCCCCACCTTTCCTTCCAAAGAAGTCTTCTGTACGGATCCCCCGAAAGTGCTCAGGCGTGATGTTGGACATGGAGTTGCCGCTCGCCCGATGCTCTCGCATATACTCACGAACCGGCGCCATGGCAGCATCGCGGCATGCTTCCTTAATATCGCTGCCCGACATACCGGCCGTGACTTTTGTGATATATTCCAGACTAAAATCTGCATCGGTCTTTGTGTCCTTGAGAATGAGCTGCAGAATGCGCCGTCTCTGCTCTTTGCTTGGCAGAGAAACCGGGAACTTTTTGGGCATTCGCCTGAGAATGGCCTCGTCAATGTCGTGTATCCTGTTTGTCGCCCCCAGAACCACAATTCTGGCCGGCATACCTGAAGAGTTTGACGATGTCAAACCGTCCCAAAGGGTCATGAACCTGGTTTGTCAGCCAATGAACACCAAGCAGCCATAATTCCAGTCACTCACTCTGCCTTGACCATACCACTAGCCTCATGCTCACCGCTCCTTCTTGTGCCCAAGACAGCATCGATTTCATCGATAAAAATGATAGCAGGCTGCATCTTGCGAGCCAGGGAGAACACAGCGCGGACCAGTTTGTTCGAGTCACCATACCACTTCTCGGTAACAGTCGAGATGTGTAAGTTGATGAAAGATGCGCCACTCTCGCGGGCGACCGCCTTGGCCAACATGGTCTTGCCGCAACCAGGGGGGCCGTAGAGCAATACGCCAGATGGAGCGGACAGAAGTGGTGCCGCATGAGAGTACAGATGTGGCATAGTTAGGGGATAGATGACAGACTCTTTGAGCTCATCGATAATGTCCTCCAAGCCGCCAATGTCTGCCACAGCTCGTTAGTGAAGCTCCGGGACATGTGCGCCATATCAGCATGCGTGTGTAATGCTTACCAGAGAACCCAATAGGGATATCCTCCGGGGACACCATTTCCAGAGCAATAAGGTTCTCGTACTCATTCAACACCAACTCTTCTGGCTTCGGTCCGCGGCGAGATGCGTTGCTGTCGTCGGACGGGTCTTCGCCAGATTTGCCGGCGTTCTTCCCTTTGCGCAAACGCTCCAGGTGGGCCTTCGCCTGCAATCGTGCTTGCTCGTGTTTCTCTCGATCGGGGTCAGCGAGGGTGTTGGTGAGCGATGACAAGAAGTTCCTTGCAAGGTATACGCCGGTTGCCATCTTGAATGTCAAGTTAGCCTTCAAGTACGCCATCGTTTCTGGTATTTAATGAGTCCATTTACCATGCCAGCCACCAGCAACAAGTCCAGGGCGAAGTCACCCAGACCCTTCTTGCGGTCGCCCATGCCGAGGAGTTTTCCGACGGAGCCCAGCCAACGGTCAAGGTCACCCGTCATCAGTGTTCGCGTCGCGGCGAAGGGCCGACAGGATGGGGTTGAGACTGCCGAATGTGCAAGGTTACAGCGAGTGAGCGGTCGTTGTGGACCGGGTAGAGGTTTGACGACGAGTATCCTTGCAATGAATATTAGAACGTCGTCTAGTGGTTGCACGTCGGCGAGCAAAGATTGTGTAATGGCTTCGTTGGGCGCATCCAGGTGATGGAGAGACGGCGGGCGGCGAACGAGACGTGGCCCCCGTTCAAGAAACTGAGCCGACTCAACGCCACCCGTGGTACGGGGAGAAAATTAAACCACATATGGACTGCACTCATAGTAGGTACCTACCTAGGTACCTAGGCAGTTTCTTTTAATGGCAGCGGTGGGCACCGCACATATGCGCACTGGCCACAAGCTGCTTCGACCGGGATCTGGTATTACCCGTCAGCTCAAGAGGTTGCTGCTAGGCCCTTTGTTTACTTTTTCGTCACAAAGTCGAGGCAGCTTACCTTAGTACCTGTAAATATCCGCTTCGGAGCAAATGCCTTCCCCTCCTCTGCTTGTTATTTGGGACCGTAGTCTGCGCAAACCTTCGCTTCAGAGCCGTGAAGATTGAATACCGTGCACACCACCACTTCCCGAGGGACACGATACACTGTTTTACTCAGTAACAAAATCAACGACCCACGAATCGCGACTACGGCGCGACACTGATTGTACATTGGGTATCCTCCAGACGTGTGCCCAACCCCGACTACCTACTTTCCGCTGCGTAATTTGCGCCCATCAACTTAACTTACCTCACCACGAAACCAATTTCCGGGCGTGAATGTCGCATGCTGCTCCCTCGTCCAAGTTGCTTGCTTTGGTGGATTCGGATTCCGATGAACTTTCCGGCCTCGGCGCGAAAGTCAACAGTAACAGCACAAAAGACCACAAGATGCCGCTAGCGAAGAAAGCCAGAGGCAGACCTCCAGCCGCCCACAAGGTTACGAAGCCATCGCAAAGAGCAACGAAAACACACAAGAATCCCAAGCTCGCAGCCGCAGTCAGCAAGGCAGAAGAGGAGGGTGCAGTTGATATATCAACCATGGTCGAAGGCAAGGCTCCGAAGAGGGGCCGCAAAGCAGCAGCGAAAGATGAAGAAGAGGGAGAAGAGATGGCCAAAAATGACGGGGGCTTTACCTCTCCAATAAAGCCGAGTGTCGGCAAGCGTAGAGGCCGCCCAAAAGCCGCAGTCGCAGCAATGTCCAAAACAGATGATTCGGACGAGGTACCGAATTCCGCCGCGAAGCACACCGGACCGCCAGCCAAGCGAGGACGCCGTCCTGCTACCAAACCGACACAGAATGAAGAATTGGAAATCCCGGAGACACAGGCTCAAGATGCCATGGACGTTGAGATGGAGTTGGATGATCAGTTCGAAGACCTGCCGGTGCCACGGCAGCCTGCCCGCCATACCAGCCGGGCGGGCGGGAGCTCAGACGTGGAAGCGAGCGAGACGCAACTACGGCGGAAGTTAGGCGAGACAACAAGGAAGTATGATCATCTTGAGGCAAAGTACCGGGATCTTCGGGACATTGGGGTCAAGGCCGCCGAACGCAACTTTGATAATCTCAAAAAGGAGAGCGAGGAACGAGCAAACAGTAAGTACCCGACCGAGACCGGCGACGAGTAGTGCTAACATTTCCAAGCCGCGAGCGAACTCATAGGCCAGCTCAAGGCCGATCTTGCCATGCAGCGGGATCTGGCGAAGGCGGGACAGCAGTACAAGAAGCAGCTTGAGGAGATGGAGGCGAAAGTGGCAGCATTGACTACAACACTGGCCGAAACGAGACAAGAAGTCAAGACGCTGTCGACAAAGCTAGCCGCGAGCAGATCTGCTGAAGCTGCGGCAAGTACAAAGACAGTTCCTGGCAGTGCTATCAAGGGCGGTAGCGCTGCTGCTCGAGCCCTCGCTAGCTCAGATGTGGTGCAAACGGGGCAATTGAAGGAGGACCTTTATGGTGATTTGACCGGGCTAATTGTCAGAGTCACGAAGCGCGACTCGAACGGTCAGGTTTTCGACTGCATCCAGACGGGAAGAAATGGAAGTAAGTTTGCTCTCTGTGACACTTTCTTGCAGTATCTTGGTGGCCCGCCTCATTGTACTAATTGCGCTCCCAGCACTTCACTTCAAGCTCGAGGTCGAGAGTGAGAGCTCGGGTGATAATTACGACGAAGCACACTTCACGTACAAGCCGCAGCTTGACAAAAATAGAGACCGCGACTTGATCAATATGCTCCCCGACTTCCTAGTGGAGGAAATCACTTTTCCTCGACCACATGCAGCGAAATTCTACGCGCGTGTAGTCAAGTCTTTGACTGAGCGCATCGATTAGTTTATCCGAGCTGGGTGTCTCTTTTCGTTGGTGGCATGGCCAGGCGTGGCACGCAAGTTGCCCTTGAAGTTACTCTATACGATACCCTGCGAGGTTTTGTTTCCTCGACGCTGCTTGAATATATAAGCTTCGCCCGCTGCTCGTTTTGGTTTTTGAGGTGGATGACCTGCTATTAGCTCGGCGAGGCATGGCATCGTAAGCAACGGTTCCCGGATTCTGGCACAGAGAACGAAACTCATAACTACTTACCCAAGCGCATTGCGAATATTCTTCTACGGCGGCAATGGACACGTAAGAAATAACAATGGCGTGGGACGTGAGGTTGGCTATTTATTTATCTCAATCCAAAGAGGTTTCCAGTTATCCGTCTACCAAGTCTGACAGGAATAAGAGCGCCGAGATGATGTACTTACTATTTGCTCACTTAGTACGTCTTCGCACTCACAGGAGACGCCTTGATGTCAAGAAGTCATGTGCCAGTGTCATCCCAGCATTGGTACCTACGGTAGATACATCATCGAAGCCGCGTTTAGAGGGGCGAAGGAGGGAAATGCTGGCCGAATAATTATGAGGTCAAAGGGGCGATAGCCATCCGACCATTCTACTACACCTGCGCTGCTAACGCCCTACAATGCAGAAGTTGTACCTACAGAACCCCACTAGGTGCAAACAGCTGCTCCCGCGCCGTGTCGCGGGCTTCTAGGATGTCGAAGTGGGTCCACCCGACCGTGGATCCCTGCACCTCCAAAAATTGGTGCATTACGGGTTGTCGACGTGTCGTGAAGTGACCAATAATCTCGGCGTCGATGCAACAAGCTTGATTGATTCAATCTGGATCGCACGGCGCTCCACCAGACTGGATGGGACTGCTGTGGTTTCGTGTTTCCCATGGGCAAGAAAACCCAGCGCTGCGCATCCTCAACAGCCCCGAGAGCAATGCGGTTCGCTGTAAAATGAATGCGCCTCCACTCCCTTGCACAGAAGAAGCCCCTGATCCCTTCGTCTCTTCACTCTTTAACCCCAGCCATTCTGCGGGACACCTCGAGCGGCGCTGAACGAGTCGAACCAAGCTATATAGCCCAATCAGCCCTGACCTATTCCTCGGTCCTTGTCGGCTCTGCCTCTGCTACATCTCTCGAGCTGCTGAAGCGAAGCGACAACGCGACACGGGAGGTCTCGACGAGAGCCGAGGACAGTACAGCGCCGAAAGAGAGCTCTCTTACCTTTCGCTGCTCTGCCCGCCATGGCTGTCTCTTCGCGCGCCGGCTTTCTGGCCGTCGCAGTCGTATTTCACCTCGCCTACATCTACTCTATCTTCGACATTTACTTTGTTAGTCCAATCGTTTCGGGCATGAAACTTATCCAGATCGACCGGCCCGACCGTGTCAAGGCTCCCGCCGATCGTTTGGTTCTCTTTGTTGGTACGTTGTCCTGTTTCTCACTACCTAGTGCCATGCTGGAAGCAAGTACTAATCCTTGATTACAGGAGATGGTCTGCGAGCAGACAAGGCCTTCCAGTTCTTTCCAGAACCCTACCCCGAATCCGAGGACGATCTGGCTCCACGGCCACTGGCCCCTTTCCTGCGATCCCGCGTCCTGAAGCACGGCACCTTTGGCGTGTCACATACGCGCGTGCCCACCGAGTCTCGTCCGGGTCACGTTGCGCTCATCGCTGGTCTGTACGAGGACGTCTCGGCAGTCGCGACTGGCTGGAAGCTCAATCCTGTCAACTTCGACAGCGTCTTCAACCGGAGCCGTCACACTTGGAGCTGGGGTTCTCCTGATATCCTTCCCATGTTCGAGGAAGGCGCGGTTCCTGGTCGTGTGGATTCCTACACCTATGGTCACGAGTTTGAGGATTTTAGCCAAGATGCTCTGCAGCTTGACTATTGGGTTTTTAACCATGTCAAAGAACTTTTTGCTGAGGCGGCTAAGAACGAGACCCTGGACGCTGCCCTTCGTCAAGACAAGGTGGTTTTCTTCCTCCATCTTCTTGGGTTGGATACCAATGGCCACTCGTACCGACCCTACTCAAAAGAATATCTCAACAACATCAAGGTTGTGGATCAAGGCGTCCAGGAAATCACTGCACTTATTGAAAAGTTCTATGCTGATGACCGAACCGCTTTCGTCTTCACGGCAGACCACGGCATGAGTGACTGGGGAAGTCATGGAGATGGCCATCCAAATAACACTCGCACGCCACTGATTACTTGGGGTTCAGGCATTGCACCGCCGGTGCTCACCACTAACTCTGTTGCTCCTGGGCACGATGAGTACTCTTCTGATTGGCACCTTGATAATGTTAAACGACATGATGTGGCGCAAGCTGATATTGCGGCCCTGATGGCTTACTTGATTGGCGTGGAGTTTCCTGCTAACTCTGTCGGCGAACTGCCCTTATCGTATGTTTCGTCAAGTATCGAGGAGAAAGCGCAAGCAGCCCTTGTGAACGCTCGCGAGATCCTTGAGATGTATAGGGTTAAAGAAGAACAGAAGAAGGCGACTGAATTGCGCTATCGGCCATTCAGGCCGCTGAGCAACACGAATCTTACCCCTGACCGCCGGGTCAGTGAAATTCAAGGCCTTGTCGACGCTGGCAACTATGAAGAGGCTATTGAAGAATCGGCTGCTCTTGTCAAAGTTGCGCTGGAAGGTCTGAGATACCTCCAAACTTATGACTGGCTCTTTCTCCGCACGCTGATCACCATTGGCTACCTTGGCTGGATGGCATTTGCGCTCACTGTTGTTATCGACTTGCATGTCTTGCGAGGCAGCCGCCCCCCTTGCCGTACGAGAGTGGGCACGACTGTGTTCACGTCAGTACTTGCGGCGCTGTACGCATCTTTCGTCATCTCCAAGTCCCCCATCACCTACTACGCGTATGGTTTCTTCCCCGTCGTCTTCTGGGAGGAAGTCTGGGCTCGACGTCGTTCACTTGTCGAAGGCCGCCAGGTGCTTTTCGGGCACATCAAGACCGGGGGCAGCGTGGTTTCGTTCTTGTTGAATGTTGTGGTCTATGTCGGCATCATTGTTTCTCTCGTAAGATATAAGAAATGCCCCTGCTTTTGACCGCTTTGTTTCGCTAACACAGTCGAGGCTCTTGGATACATCCACCGCGAGGTCCTGACTATTCTTTATGTCCTTGCGGCCTTCTGGCCCATGACGTACGGCTTGAGATTCCTCCATTCGAACGTCCTGTTGGCTGTGGTTTGGTTTTTCGCATGCCTCGTGATGAGTGTTTTTACATTGCTTCCGGCCATGAAATCAGAGGACGTTCCTCTTATGTATGTCTGAACGGTTCTGTCATCCACCCTCCCGAGTGTCCACATGCTTACCCATCACAGTGTGGCAGGTGGGATTGCTATGGCGGCCATTGGTCTGGCCTATCTTGTCTGGGAAGACAAGCTCCTTGCACGGCTAGCCCTGCCGACTGCTAGGGCTCTGACCGGCGTCCAGGTGAATATATGTCTCTTTGAAATTCTGCTCCACAACTGACACAATCAAAAATAGGTCGGCCTAATCCTACTCGCAATCGTAGTCACCAGGTCCAGCGCCTTGTCTCTCCAGGCAAAGCTGGGGTTGCCCCGTGGCAACCAGGTGGTTGGCTGGATTGTCCTCGGTAAGCGTAAACCAAATCTCGACGTTGGGCATCGCTAATCAGCTGGTAGTTGCGTCGCTACTTATGCCTCTGGCCCATCGCTTGCAGCCCAACAATCATTACATGCACCGTCTAATGACCATGTTCTTGACCTGCGCGCCGACCTTTGTCATTCTGACTATTTCATATGAGGGACTGTTTTATGTTGCTTTCAGCATTCTGCTGGTCTCCTGGGTGGGCCTTGAGCATCGCGTATTCGCATTCAGCAAGAACTCCGCAGACGAACGACGCTCCCAATCTAATGGCACTGCCAACGAGGAGCCGAGACTATCTCCGCCGGCTTTCAGAGCCTTGACACTCGCTGACGCTCGAGTTTCATTGTTCTTTTTCGTCTTGCTGCAGTCTGCCTTCTTCAGCACAGGCAATGTAGCTTCGGTCTCGTCCTTCAGCTTGGACAGTGTGTACCGGCTAATCCCTATCTTCGACCCCTTTTCCCAGGGAGGACTACTCATACTGAAGCTGATGATTCCCTTCGCCCTCATCTCAGCCAACTTCGGAATTCTTAATGTCAGACTGGGTGTGGCGCCGTCGTCTCTCTTTATGGTGGTTATGGCCATTAGTGATGTTCTTACTCTCTACTTCTTCTGGGTAGTGAAGGATGAGGGCTCGTGGTTAGAGATTGGCTCTACCATCAGTCACTTTGTCATTGCGAGTCTGCTGTGTGTGTTTGTGGCAGCTCTCGAGGGGGTCAGTGCGCTGTTTATTGGCGGCATTGAGGTCGAGGAACCCCAAGATAGAGGCGAGCAGAACGGGGCGGTGGTATCTCGTACCACAGGACGCACAACTGCCAACGGCAAGACTCCTTTAACCGCTGCCAAAGCATAACGGACTGTGGTCTTGGCTTAACGAAACTTAATGCGTATATATGATGGCATCATATTGTTTAGTATGTGGCCCAAACAAGCCTGCACGCATTGTTTATTTTATTTTCTTATTTTGTTTTATCTTGTTTTACATTCTTGCCGCCCACTTGATTTTCCCGAGCCTGGCATTGTGGGGTAAGTGAGTTGATAAGACACGCTCTCTATGGCCGATTCTTGCGTTTGACTCTCGTGTCGGCCCAAGTGGCCTCTACGTCAGTCGCATTTATTTACTACTGCCTTTCTAGGGTGGTCCTCAACATTGTTAAGATACAGTCCAGGCCGTTGACCAAGTCTTAACTTCGGCCGCTGTTCTCAAGAGCAGTGGAGCTTCGGCATCGTCTTGGAGGAGAGAAGACGCCACAAAGGATGCCAAGTCTGTCGGAAAATCCTTGGGGATCTGCCGCATTGACCGAGATCGATGTGCCAGTGTATGAAAACAAGCCGGAAGCGCGGTGAGCGCCCACCGAGTCTTCCCACCGTCCTCGTTTACGGGAGTGCAAGAAGAGGGTGACGAGAGCTGCCGGGTGTTCCGCACAGTCTGATATTTGCCAACCAAGGTGTTGCAGAGCGTTTCCGGTCAAGCTCACCTGGGAGCCGACCCTTATCAACACTGAATGAAGTTGGCCATTTCACTTCGGTCTAGCAAGTAGCTAGATGTATGGCATCTAGAAGGCTGTGCCAGGAACGTTTGTTCCGGCAGGTTAACAGAGACTCGGCTTGGTAATGAATGCAAATAAGGTGGGTTCATATATCAAAGTCCAATAGGACCGATGTAAGGCGTGCCTGAACTGGCCTGCCGCCCCCTTGCCGTGGGATCATGCCTCACCCCTTGACGCCTGGTTCCTCCAGCCGCCAGAGTATATATCCCCGTACAGCAAGGTGTTCGGCAGGCAGCTTCGACGCTTGCTTTGTAAGCCGGCGGTGTGAGATGTTCCATCGTGCAAGAAAGCCGTAGAACCAGCCCACGGAGAATCGGAAGGGGTGGGCAGGAAGATACCCATCAGTGAAAGTGCTAGGATATCTGGTAGCGAAAAGGGCCCGGGCTTCCCGTCTGGACCATCCAGTGGTAACCACCTTGTCACTGACCCGTTGTTGAAGGAAGTGACTACGGAGTATATAGGTCAGCTTCCATTGCTAGCCATTTGGGTTGGCGGCTGCGTACAGTTGGGTTAATAATAGTGCCTCGTCGTTGATACCAACTGGCCACTGTTGAAAAGGGGACTCCGAAGTGGGCGGCAGCCTCGTGAAAGGTTGGGCGGCGAAGGCCGTTGGCAGGGTTCAAAGGGGAATCGCCAGCCCGTTGCCGCTGCCGTTGGCAAGATGGATCAATTGGGTAGCGGTGGTGCTCGAGGTACAGCAGTACGTCAACTTGCTTTGACCGTCCATACGACCTTTGGATTCGCTGGATGGGTTTTTTTGCCGTATACTGTCGATGGACAATAGGCTTGGGCTTTTTGCCCATTTTCTTGCGTAACGGCGGTGCGATATTTTGGTTGATATCGCCTAGCGGCTGGCGGTCGGGCATCGCGAATATCGTAGTGGGTTGGTTGATGCGTTGGCGAAGTTACGGCAATGGGCAAGTGGGTGGATGGGTTGACCGCTTTCTAAATCAGGCACAGCGCACGGCCTGTGCGGTTTACGAGTTTGGCCAGTGGATACGGTATGTGTGTGTGCGTGACACCATTTCACGGCCATCTTATACATAGTAATTCTCGGCACCCACCAACACGTGTATGGTATGTGCCGGGCTCGGCTCTGGACGTCTCCCGTGGCCGATCCACGACGAGACGTGGTGATATGCTTTTCTCGGCAGCCTTCTGGGAATTCACTTATCCATGTCCACACACAGCGCAGCGTGGTCCTTGCCTAAAACGGGAACGCATGCGTGGGGATGAAGCAGTTTCGGGGGGCATCCCCGAAGCATAACTGCAAGTATTTGTACCTAGGTACTTGAGGTACTTGCGCCAGCAACACTCTTTGAAGCTCGACTTACCTCACTTATACCATCTGAACAGTTATCTAGGTAGGTAGGTAGTTAGACTGCAGTGGGCGTATTTGATCAAATCAACTGTTTGCGCTCTCCTCGTGCCAGTGCCTCGCCCTGGACCCCCTGTCGACCTACGTAGTGCACGCTTACTATACGTAGGTAGTATACTCCGTACTACAGGTGTGTATGTATGCCTTACCCCTGCACCTTGCCCAACTCATTCACTCATCTCCTACTTGTAGGTATATACCTGTACGTGTTACCCCGGATCTGGTGGGCTGCGGCCCAACCCTGATCAAGTGGGCGGAGGGCAATAATACGTTGATGCAGGGGATGGAAAGGTTAGCTTCATTCTTCATCATCCCCCGACATGGGTGGATTCACAGCTCGGCGGCTACTGGCGTGAATTAGGTAGGGCTCTCGGTGAGCGACACACGCGCGGCCCACCACGGCCTTCACCTAGCAAACGCCCTCTCGCAGCTTAGTCGTTGCCAGTCTCCGTTGCTGTCTTGAAACGACATGCCTTTCCATAAGCCCTGAGGGAAAAGGTTGGTGGGGGAGGGGATGCGATCCTGCCAGCAGTGCCCTTGAGAAAAAGTCTCACATGCTCGCCAAGCCGACAATTGTGGCGTCTATTCCAACGTCCTTGGCCAACTCTCGTCCAGGCTGCCATGCCACACTCGCCCACGAGACAATGGTTCCAGGCGTCAACAGCCAAAGTCCGAGTGACACGGGCTAGCTCCAGGTTGGCCGCCTGGGCAAACCCGGCATCGGTCACATGGGAGGTAGATGCTAAGAACGGGGATGGGCTGTCACCCTCAAGCGCCATTGCGGACGGCTTGGTGTGTGCTGAGCCAGCCCATCTACATACAATAGAATGTGACTGCGCTCTTTTCTTAATTCATGCGCCCCTCCCAACCCCCGGAGAGCCCGGAAGGCAATGCTAGATCTACCTAGTTTACCAGCACCTCCGATCCCGTCCAGCTCATGCCGGTTCGGGGCAGATAAGTTTACCTTGGCTGCACGGGGGCCGATTGCGGTTGCGAGCCAGCACAACCTGGCAAGCAAGGGCCGCATACATACCACCGCGGTGGTCCATACATACATACATACCTACCGTATATAGCGTTAGACTCGGAAGCAGACGGCGGGAAGCAAAAGCTACGCCAAGGGCTTGATGCTACGATGCTAAAGTTAATTGCCTTTTATATACTACGGTGATACACCAGCTAAAGCTGTGAAAAGGGCTGTTGGAACGAGAGATAACCTGGCGCTACCTGTGCGCGAGAATCTCAAAAGGGCGCACGCACGACCTGCTCTCTGGTCCGATTCTTCATGCGACGTCATCCCCCAAATCCAAACCTTCAGGCCACAACTTTGTTGCTCGTCCAGGCTACCGGACGTCTTCAGAAGGGGGGGTAAGAGTCATGATCAAGATTACGTGACAGCCATATTGGCTCACAAAAAAGAGAGAAAATCTTTTTGAAATTGGCACGGGCATGTCGTTTTTCCGGGCTGCTTCAAGGTACCAGGTCCATGGGCTTTGTTCTTCTTCCTCATGACTGTTATCCTGCATGATGTCCCGAGTCTTTCTTTCAGTCAATCCTACTATGCCTTAGGGTATCTTCTTGCTCCCCGACGTGCTAGACGTAATTGCATAAAACAGAATGGTCGAGAGCAGCGGATGAACATTACCGTGACTTTTCGGAGTCCGAAGATAAACCGGACCAAGAAGACGATGAAAATCAATATAAACGGTAATACTAGGAGTACATCTTCTGTACCCTGGGACACAACTTGGATGGCTGGCGCGCCGAATTATTGCAACAAAGAGCGAAACCGAATTTCCGGGCCTGCCTTGATTTGAAATAAGCTGTCTCAAGAGTGGACATGATCTAGATGGTGGCTGCTGTCTCGACCCCAAGCTGGACCCTGAATACCAACGTCTTAGCAACAACGGCAACGATGCCATTCTTCTCCAACACACCGACAACGACCTCGACCTGAGCTTCGACTTCAGCCTAAACCTCGGTGCCCAAGTCAGCGTGGACCTTGATCTGGGTGTCATAAGGCTAAGGCCCGACGTCGACGCGGGCGAGAACCCTGGTCCTGACAGAGAACAGTTACAACGCGGCCCCCGGCCGTCTGCTGCGGCCAGACGAGACCACTTTGGAGCCAGTGCTTCTCTCTTCTCTCCCCTCCAACATCCACAGAAGCCTGTTCCTATCACGACAACGACGACGGGCCAGGCAAATATACCAACCCCCGGCGCAGGAGAAATAGAAAACAACCCGGAGTGGTGATGTATTGACGTTCCCCGGTTCCAAAGTCGATCAACCACGCGGCGGTTCTGCTGGTTGTGGCCCCGCAGACGTACGGATACACTCGTCGAATTCCATCTCTAGGTATTTCGTCCACGTCCAGTCCCAGCAGCACCAGCACCGGTTCCACCAGTTCCAGTTTTCACTCCCGGCCCATCCTCTCAGCTTCAGGGCAAACAGGGGGAGCACCACTCTCGCACCATTCTCTGCTGACTTCACCCCCCATCCACCCGCATCCGCACCCGCACCCGCACCCGCACACGCACCCGCACACGCACACGCGCACACACGCATCAGCAACCCGAGGACCATACCCCCCCCCCCCCCAAGAAGCTCCTGCGACACCACTCCCCCTACCCAGCTGGAGGAGTCCACCATCACCGCCGCTGCCGCTGCCGCCGCTGCCAGTCTCCGTACCCTGCGCCAGCGCTGTCACTGGGGACACAGCCAGAGACACAACCAGACATTGCGCCTGGACCGCCTCTGCAGCAATCAGCTCCTTTGCCGCTGTCGCTGCTATTGCCGCGCTCCTGGTGGCCCTCCTCCCACTCCTACGACTGGACCAGAGAAATTCGTCAACGACTCTCTTTACCACTCTCACGATTCCATTGCAGCTTCCGCTTTACGGTGACCCATAGATGTCGACATGTCATCTACCGACCTGTCGGCCCAACAGCCGCAACCGCCGCAAAACCCCGAATCGACACCTCAGTCTGCTGGCGGGGATTCCAATGCCGCCAACACGAGCCCCAACGCTCAAGGCAGCTCTGCTGCTGCTGCTGCCGCCGCCGCCGCCGCCGCCGCCGCTGCCGCAAACCACATGAGTTTTCGCAGGTGCGTCCTTCACCACCAACCTCCGCCCCGGTGATTCTTTGCGATGACCGCCGTTATTGTCGGATTTAAAATGCCATGTATGCGCTGACATGGATTTTTTTTCCGTAATGAAAAGGCAACGAGCTTCCAGAGCTTGTGAGGTACGTAGTTTCCCACCTTTATCTTGGCCGCGCCCGCCATTCCGAGACCCCTCTGCCCACTTTGTGCCGAGGTATCCTTACTTCGTGTACCGCCGAGCCGCGTTGCTCTGTGTTGCACTGCGAGATATCATCGCCCACCACATCAATCTGACCCGTCGCGATCAGAGTTGAAGCTAACTATTGGCCTTCAATATACAGACATGTCACGCGCGCAAGGTACGGATACGCAATTGTCCATTTTTCGACTCGCCCGCCCCCTCCCCCTCTGCGCCACATAGCACGCGACCCGACCTCCTGCGCACCCAACCATCTCACAAAACCCTCCTCCCTTCTTCAGCCGACTTTCCTCACCAAGCTGCTTTATACTAACCTTATAAAGGTACGATGCGACGCCGCGAGTCTGGGCGTGCCTTGCACGAACTGCGTCGCCTTCCAGATCGAATGCCGCATCCCTACCCCCAAGCGCAAAAAGACAACAAATGCCGGAACGAACAAGGACTCGGACAGGTCTGTCTCTACTTCGCCGTTTTCGCATACCCCAAACCCTGGGCTAACTGAGGTGCGCTCCAGTGAGAAAGGAGATACTGCCGACGACCGGTCACCGAGAGCGCCTAGTATTTCTGCCCCTGGCCCCGGGACGTTCCCCCCGCGAACACCTGCTGTCTATCACACCACGGACGGTACGCCGTCGTCCAACTACACCGAATCGCAAGCCCGAAAGGAGGAGGTTGACAGTGGCACCTACCTCAACCTCGTGATGAAACCCAAGTTTACAAGGGCCCCTATTACGGACGCTGGCAGAGTCGCATATCTCGGGGAGTCGTCTAACCTGACCTTGCTTGTCCATGATCGCCAAGGCTCGTCGGATGTCGTCCACTACCCTTTGCCCGAAAACGTCAGAGGATCCAGAGCCCGCCTAACCGAGCTGGATAACGTCGAAATTGACATTCTCCACCAGCGTGGCGCTTTTCTGCTACCGCCGCGGTCACTATGTGACGAGCTCATCGATTCGTATTTCAAATGGATCCATCCCATTGTTCCCGTCATCAACCGCACACGGTTTATGCGACAATATCGCGATCCCAAAAATCCGCCATCTCTTTTGCTGTTACAGGCTGTGCTGCTGGCTGGCTCCCGAGTCTGCACGAACCCGCAGTTGATGGACGCCAATGGCTCGACAACCCCTGCGGCCCTAACCTTCTACAAGAGGGCAAAGGCACTGTACGATGCCAACTATGAGGACGATCGAGTGACCATCGTGCAATCGCTGTTACTGATGGGCTGGTATTGGGAAGGGCCAGAAGATGTCACCAAGAACGTCTTTTACTGGAGCCGAGTCGCTACCATCGTTGCTCAGGGCTCTGGTATGCATAGAAGCGTTGAACAATCGCAGCTCAGTCGCTCTGACAAGAGGCTTTGGAAGAGAATCTGGTGGACCCTTTTCACGCGAGATAGGTCCGTTGCTGTCGCCCTTGGTCGGCCTGTACACATCAACCTGGACGACTCGGATGTCGAAATGCTCACCGAAGATGACTTCATTGAGGACGACGGCGACCGCAACAGCGAGTACCCTCCAGACCCGATACACGTTCAGTTTTTTATGCAATATGTCAAACTCTGTGAGATTATGGGCTTGGTGCTCTCGCAACAGTACTCGGTGGCCTCGAAAGGTCGGCAGCGCAACGCAATCGATCTGACGCACAGCGATATGGCTCTCGCAGATTGGCTTCAAAATTGCCCTAAGATCGTGTATTGGGAGGTTGCCCGGCATCACTTCTGGTCTGCCCTGCTTCATTCCAACTACTACACGACCTTGTGCCTCTTACATAGGGCACACATGCCGCCCAACGGCGGAAGTCGGTTTCCTGACGATTCTCCATACCCATCACGGAACATTGCGTTCCAGGCAGCAGCCATGATCACCTCGATTATCGAGAACCTGGCGGCTCATGGAGAACTGCGTTTTTGCCCGGCATTTGTGGTGTACAGCTTGTTCTCTGCTCTCATCATGCATGTATATCAAATGCGGTCGCCTGTGCCGTCGATTCAACAGGTGACACAAGACAGATTGAGAACTTGTATGCAAGCTCTCAAGGAAGTCTCACGCGTGTGGCTGGTAGGGAAGATGGTGTACACCTTGTTTGAGTCCATCATAGGAAACAAAGTCCTCGAGGAGCGTCTGCAAAAAGCTGCAGGCAAGCGACACAGGAAGGCGCAACAGGCCATGGCGCAGCTAGAGCAGCATTCGCGTCCCCATGATGTGGCCAAGCGGAAGTACGACGACATGGCGATTGACTTCAGCGTTAACACACCGACGCCCCAGGAGTCGTATGAACGTTCACGTCCCCAGACACCGAGCCATATGAAGGGCGACGGTAACCCCCAAAACATGCCGCCGCCGGTCACCTCTCCCAACCCCAGGCAACATGACACATTCATGGGCGGAACATCATCACGGCCACAGACCAGACCTGCAACACCGTTCAACCCTTCCTTCTCCGTTCCAGCTACGCCACCAGACTTGTACCTGGTAACTCGTAACTCGCCGAACATATCCCAGTCTTTATGGGAGAATTTTCAGCCCGACCAGCTGTTCCCAGATAGTGCCAGCATGCCAGCCTTCCCCCTCATGTCGCCTCCGCCCGCAAACCAACAAGGCCTCGACGCAGGTCTCATGGCGCAACTCCAAAACCCCAGCTTGCAGAGCGGACTGGCAGCCCAAAACACCCCGTTCCATCAAAGGGGGACCAATAAGACGGGCCTAAGTGGAAGCCCTCCTCAAGGCCACAATGTCCTCCAATCAGGCATGCAAGGCTTTCAACAGCATCAGCAGCAACCGCAACAACAGCAGCCGCAGTCACAGGCCCAAGCACAAGGACAGAACTCCAACACCAGTCTCAACAGCAATTTATGGACTGCCAACTTTGATGGGCTGATGCCTGACGGCCAGAGTCCGAGCGATAGCTGGAGTACAGGATCTGCCCAGGGGCAGCCTGTTCCAAACACCTTGAATGTCGAGGACTGGTAAGTGAATACACGGCCCGGAGACCGACTGACTCACTAAGCTGACGACCTACTAAAGGTTCCAATTTTTCGGCATCAATAATGGCGATTTGGCAAACATGAATATCGACCTGGGACTTGGACCCCAGTAAAGATAGGTCAGATGCGCTTGGTATCCGTTCTCGCTTTGGTAGCTTGGCATGTGTAGCATAGGCTCCGCTCAAGGCCTGTCTTGTAGTTGCAAATGTGATAGAGGGCGTACCAATGAACAATGTTCGAGATTTGGCGAGAAACTTCTTAATTTCACGTGTTTTGCTGAGGCGCACTGCACCAGTTAGCGTCATGTAGAGCCGGGTGTGTCTTGTCCAGGCAGGGCCATATGAACAATGCGTATGTCCTTGCATGCACAGCAAGCAGTTGACCCTCGCAAGAAGCTGCAGGCTCAAGACCAAAATCATGGCCCATATCAAGGCGTTGCCCTTGCCCACTTGGTTCGCGTGGCGCCAAGACTACGTTGCTGTCACCGACGAATAGCTAAATACAGCTGGCGTCACGCATCACTGCTATACACATGGATGAAAGGGCGCTATGATATTCGGGATTGGTCCCAATTTAAGAAACAAACCACCTTCCAAGGGGATCACCTCTCCTCGACCCCTTTGCCTCCTCTGGCTACGCAGCCCACGACTCAGAATCATTGCTCCATTCACTAGACTCAACCCAGGACTAAAAGGCTTTGAAATGAAGTGCAAGCTGATGATGTTCCCAGGTCTAATGTTTCGAAAGAAATAACTGTTGAATGAAAATGGGAGGCGCTGGTAGGTCAAGAGCAGGTTGGGCGACCATCCTGAATGGAAGCCGTGGCAGACTGACAAGCCACCCACCCTTGCCGTAAAAACCCCCTTCCATGTCCGCTAACGCCTTTTCCAATGCTCAACTATGCGGCACCAATTCGACTGCTGCCTACCCTTGTCGCCCCGTGTGCCTCGCGGGCATCTCTATCTTTGGTTCAGATCATGATATGTGTGTGTCCTTGCTGAGACCTCCAGAGGCTGGTGCCGTACACCCAATATAGTAGCTTTGCCAAACAATGGCGTCGGCAATTTGGGTCTAATCAGACTTCTTAGACTTGGCGGCCGGTGTGTTGTTACTCACGCTTCGGCCTCTGACAGACCCGTCTCCGTCGTTCCTGCTCGTAGAGCCGACTGTCATTGGGGCGGTCTCGAATAACCCTGAGCTAGTCACACCGCTGCCGACTGACATCGACAGCCTTCCGTCGTCACTGTTGGTGTCAGTTAATTCGATGAGGTCGAGGACGTCCGGTTGACGGCTCCGGGCCCCCGATGTCGGCGTTCCGGGAGATTTGGCGAACGCGCCGCGCAGCCATGTTTCTACCGTCGCCGCGGCACGGTCAAGACCGGAGCCTTGCCTGGAAGTTGCCGAGAGATCTTGACCCTCATCGAAGGGGCTTTCGACAATCCCGCTGCTAGATCCTGGCCTGAACCCAAAGTTGGCCGTCTCAGAACCCATGACAGAAATGGACGGTAGCGACTCGTCGATGGCAAGTCCAGGGAGATGCTTCTTCGCCCACGTGTTCAAGTAATCCTTTTCCGGGCCAGGCGCCCGCACGCTTCGACCCATGGAACCAACGCCCCCAGGTCTCCTCATCCATGCTGGCCGCGTGTCCCCCGCATCGCTGTTCATCCTGCTCCTTGAAGACGCAGGGGTGGACAAAGCCGGAGTGCTGGATAGGTTGGGCCTGTTGCTGAGGTTGCTCTGACGTCGGGAAGTCGGCCTGCCCACTTGTTCTGGACTTTCCATGAGCCCAGCTGTTATCGCTGCAGTATCGAGAGAGTGCCTTGGTGTCGACCTGGTCGAAGTACTTCGGAGGCTCTTCTTCCGTCGTGGCGGAAAATACCCTATTGTTTTCTTCGACACACGGGCGATCTCAACTGGTTTTGGAACCGAGTCCAAAGCAACCCAGCGTACGTGAGTCCATGGCAACTCCTCTTCTTCGTTTCTGGATAGCTCGGATGATGAGCCATTCATCGTTGGCAAGCTGAAGAAATCGACTTGGTGTGGTTGAGCGGAAGTACGCCCATCTCGCCCATTGGCGCTTTTCGGTTCCGGTGTTGGAGCCAGGAAGTCGACGGCTTGTCCCTCGTGTGGAGGCGGTTCGCATGGGCGGCCCTTGATCTCGCACGCATCGACCGGTATAGCTAGCCATTTTCGCACCTGGATATCTCTGGACCACAGACCATTGGCCTTTCTAAATGCGTCCTCGCGACACCTATATTTGAGCACTATGCCGGCATAGGTGTCGGTTGGTTGCACGTGGTGAATGTACACCAGCTGGTCCTGAACTTCCTCCTCTTGCGACGTGTTTCTGACAGATTCGTCCGAATTCCTCCTCTTATACTTGCCCGCCACGTCAAGACCTCCGTTGACGCCCTCGTGGCTCTCCAGGACGCTCGCTGTTCGCGCTGCTTTAAGGGCAGCATCTCTCTCTGCGAGGGAACCTGTCGCTATGTCTTGATGGCCAGGCCTAGAATTGGATGGTGGTGCAGGGCCCCAGTCCTTTGGAGCCTTTCGTGGCGGCGTGGAATAGTCTCGCTTAAGGGGATTGAAGCCCGTCCGTCTCCCGTTCCTGTGATCTGACTCGTAACCCGCGTCGTGGACACTTCCACCAGATATGATTGAAGAAGCCAACCCTTGGATTGAGGCCCAGCTCTGAGACCATGTCGCATCCAGGAAACTTGCAGTGTTTGGTGCAGTATTGTTTCGGCGATTACTGGTAGACGCATCTCGTGCCGCAGGCTTGGCAGGTGTATCCCTAGACAGGTGGCCGGAGGGCATTGGGCTTGGCTCGCGACTAGATGGCGCACGCAGGGCAGACAAGGAGGCGGAGAGCCTCTCTATAGGCCCGCCGGTCGAGGAAGAGTCGTCGAGGGTACTGATGAGGCGCCGGTTGCGTGGGCGGGCTTCTGCATCATGGCGTGCTGGCATGAGGGCCGATGAAGACATATGGGATGCCGACCCGACTGGATTCAGGGAGTTTGCCATAATGGAGCAAGGCCGCGCACCTCGTCGGTTAGGTGGCAGGGAGTTGAAAAGGAGGGCATCAGCGCGCAGCTACAGTCATGGGCAACTTTCGATCGCAAGACGAGATAGGCGATTCGGAGAGGCGGCGTCGTGGGCGACTTCGGATAAGAGAAGGCGACGGGGTGGATCGGGTTCACAGGAGACGTCGCGAAATATGCTGACTAGCCCTCGACACTACTCGAGAGGAGGGCACGTAAGGGGGGCGGGAGGTTGCAGTCGATCGTCGAGGAAGAGAAACGAATGGGTAAGGCAAGGGAGGAGGAGGATTGGCTGAAGCCGAATGACACCGAGTGATGGGGAGACTACTCGTGGTTCTTAGTATCTCTTCTTTACCTAGCATACGTCGGGGGTAACCAGAGAGCAAACAGTAGCGAAAGCGGTAGTGGGAGCGGGAGAGTGGACGTGGATAGAGCGGGACTGGACTGAACTGGGCTAAGCTGTCCTCCACTGATGCGGCGGACTGGAAGGGCGAAAGGTCGGAGGATGGGGAGGGAGGGACCCTTGGATGAGACGACGTAACCAGCACTGCGAGCAGCCCTGCATGCTTGCCAATCTCCCTCCCCCTCTTCCCCTGTCCCACTGAATAATAATTAGCGGTCCTAGTAGTAGTGGAGACAGAACAGGTGGCTTTCCTGCAGTCCCCCAATTCGCTTGAGGCCTGGGCTGTTTTAGAACCCGAGTTTGCGGTCCTCTCCTGTCGCTCCAGTGTCTTCCAAGCACACTGGAGAACCATCCCCGCCCAGGCCAGCAAGGTGGGGAGAAGGAAGGGGGTTTGGTTTCCAACAGCACCATATGCCACTGTCGGGCATGTATGTACGATCTGCAGCCAACTTGCCCGTGTGAGGGAGGTATATACTTCTCTCCGCCCAGATTGCAGCGGCCCCACTTGGAGTTCCTTGCGGACATCACGACAATGCCACGCGCCGTAATCGCCTTGGTCTTCAGGAGCACATAATCGAATTACATCCAGTGCCAACCCGCGACACCACATTCTCGTATGTGGAGCCACTCAGCGTTGCTCTAACCCTTCGGCCTTGTCCAGCACGCGATGCCCATTTGTATCGAGTGTCGACACCCGGTCAAGACGCTATGGACCAAGTACTCGAATGCCGACGACAAGTCTAGCGGACACAACATCCGCTTGACTGTTTGCAGAAACTGCGGTCATTTTTGCGACAAATATGTCGAGCACGATTTCGTCGTGCTATTTATTGACCTAGTTCTCATCAAACCCCAGGTCTACCGTCACCTGCTTCACAATACCTTAATGAAGGACGATGACCGATTTGATGTAAGTCACGAATGGGTTGCTGGTTACTTGATGTCAAACAGCTGCTGACACGGTCTCCGTACAGTCTTCCATCGTGCGACTCGGCGTCTTACTGCTGTTGTTCGACGTGTACTTAACATGGGCGCGCATCGAGAAACAGACGGTTCCTGCATCCGCTCAAGACGAAGGCGCCAGTTTGGGCAGCCTAACTCAACAGTCCATTGTGTCGCAATACCTCTTCTTCTGTACGTTACTACCCTTATACCTGAGGAAACTGAATGGTCGTCACTGGAATGTATGCTAACATCCCGCCAGTAATTCTCTGTGCTCTGTCGACCTTTGCCTTTCATATGAGCATCCGGTTCATGACCTCTTCTGCCTTCTCCCCACTGGGCATGCTCAATGTCCTGCCTCGATACTCGCGCCCCAACTCTGTCTCAACCGCGCTACTCGTCTCATCCTCTACCAAGCTCTTCCCGATCCTCATGGTTATATGGCAGTACGATGTTCCAGCTGCGGCGCGATCGCTTGGCTGGGCCGTGGTTGCGAACAACGTCGAGGCACTCCGTATTCTACTGGATTGTGGCTACGGCGTCGCCACATTACTGGCCACAACAGGAGCTTTGGCGCGCTGGGCGGTAGGACGCAGCGTTCTGTGGGCTGCTGGACTAGATGGCGTCGACTCCATTGGCGAGACCAGCATTGCTGCGGACGGTAAGGCCCTATGGGCTCTGTTGATGTATGCCAGGGAATGGGCGAGTGACCTAGCTGCCGGGTAGGAGACAACATGTGACAGGGGAAATCAAGCGGAAGTTTGCATAAGTGTAGAATTCAGCATTGCGTAAATTGATGTTGCCTACATACTTGCTTCAACCACTCGAGGACGCATCCTATCGAGCATCGGCCCAAGTCCCGAGTCTTGCCAGCGCCATCAACCATCATCTGGCCTCCAGAATGCATGATGTCATTCCTTGACGTCCTACAACAAATCTTTATGACGAATCCCCGCAAGTCCTTAACGCCGTCCATATGAGGTTGTAGTTGTGTAAAGTTGGTAATAGTACATCGATATCCCATCGCGTCCCTGCGATCGCCATCGTTTTGAAGGATTCATCAATGGTGCACGGCGCTTTCTCGGAGGTTGCTGCGTTTGGGCTCGATCAAGGGGTGGAGTTGGGCGAGGAACGTGATAGCCCACATGAGATAGCAGCATGCTAGGGCCAAGAGGAGAGACGATCTCCAGATGCTGTTGCTGGCGTTAGCAGTGCTGGACAGGGATAGGAAGCTCAAATGGGCTTCCCCGTGTTTTTCTCGGCCACGTCGAAACGTACATTTGAGTCTCGCCCTTGGGCGACAAGAACCATGCGCCAGCGCCCATCGCCACGACGACGACGAGGCCGATGAAGATGCTGTACCTATTGCCTCGCGTCAGTATTTTCCCTCGTTGGCCAGGTGAGCACAGGGCCGACGATACCCTTGTGCCATTTCGATGTGTTGCTCCAAAAAGGTGATTTTCCGTTAAGATGTACAAGTATGCCGAGCTTCGCGATGGTGTTGTCGTGCCGTTTTGTCGTCAACTCCTGTCGTTTGGGAAGGCTGAGTGAGAGCTATGAGGTTGGATGCCGACAGTGGATGCGGCCGCCAATATGGACAGTGCCAGAAACGGTGTGGCTGAAGCGGAGATCGACCACTCATGCTTGCTTAGTCATTTGCAACCTCTATAGGGTCCGGCTAGGCAACAATTTGCCCTGCCTGTTCTCTTAAGTCACCCATTTTATTGATTGAGCGGTCCTTTTGCTACCCTATTTTGGTATGATATGAACAACGACGATGGAGAGACAAACTAAACCATCGGGTATAAGGAGAGATCAGACCAGAGACCAATTAATGCCAACAGAGAGACAAGGTATACTTTTTGCTTTGCTCTGGTTACGTCTAGATGGTTGACGACTCCAAACACTTGAAGGCTCTTGTCCAACCTACTTCCTCAAGAGTTATTTTCAAACTTGAGGCCAGCTTCCTTTCTCACAGCACCATAAATACCCGCTATGTCACCAGATGGCCCTGCATGGTCCTTGACAATCTGGAGGTGTTTGTCGGCAGTTTCGATATTGGGCAAGCGCGTGCCAGCGGCCTTGGCGATGGCGATGGCATGACCAGCATCTTTTCTCGCCAGATCCACCGCGAATAGCGGCTCTTGTCTCTTATAATAATCACCCTCCAACATCCGCACCGAGTACGCAGGGTATGGGCTTCCACCGAAGAGAGCGTCAACGAATTGCTTGACGTAGTCTGTTCCAAGCCCGCTCTTCTCGGCCGCTACATAAGTCTCTGCCAACTGCTCGACCATGCCCAGTATGACAGTGTTTCCCAGCACCTTCAGGGTCGCGGCCTTGTGGTACGGCTCGTCAGCCATGTTGATCTCGCGAGTTGCCATGACACGGACATAGGGCCGGATCTTCTCGATCGAGGCCTTGGGGCCCGCCAGAACGAGGGTTGCATTACCAGCAGCCACCATGGCGGGCGCACCAAAAACAGGGGCGCAAACAAAGTCAGCGCCCTTGTCCAGAACGGACTTCGCGGCGGCCTCGGAGGCACTGGGGGCGATGGTTGAGCATTCCACAAAGACCTTACCTTTGAGGTCTTGCTGCACTGCGACCGCGAAGATCCCGTCCACTGCCTGGTCGTTGGCCACGCACGTGAAGATGATGTCAGCTTTGGTGATGGCGTCACCAAGCGACTCGGTGACCTCTGTCTTGCCAGCGGGCAAGCTCTGACTCAGTTCTATCGCTCGTTTGGCGGTGCGGTTGTAGATGAGGAGCGGTTCATCCAGGTTGAATTTCTCCACGAGGTTCTTGCACATACCCTGGGCGAGATAAGCTAAGGTGCCTCGAGTGGTGTGGAAATTGAGCCAAATTAGGAGTGGGGGAGTGTCACCCTTCCAATGTTACCGAGGCCGATCCAGAGAAGCCTTGGAGCCATTGTGTTGAAATGCAGAATGAGCGGCAATCGAAAATAGAGAAACCACGCCAAGTATGAGTGCGGGAGCAGCTGAAGATCACTCAGGGCTCAAGGATTGAAGCAGGGTTGGAAGTTGGGAAGACACGAGAACTAGGCAGATGTGGGAAATCTGAGTTGAGGCGTTCCTTTAGACGGCTCAGCGAAGTAAGTAAACCTGGTAAGCGGCAATGACACCCGAAATGCTCAGGTAAGTTTCACAAGGTGACGACACACGAGAGAGAGAGAAGCGGGGTTATCCGCATTGACGGCCTGCGTTCAACAGCCACAATTCCAACGGATACGATACGAAGGAGGAGGGACGGCGACCGTAATGACAATTAGGTGCTGCTAGGTACTTCTGCACGACTCTACGTTTTTAACAGAATGTCAAAACTTCTATACTGCGTAACAACACATCGCCAACCATATCGAAATGCTAGGTAATTACCCTAGACAAGGTAGCTGACGTGCGGGCCGCAGTAGCTCCCGTCGTTGTAGTTGGTCTCTGGAAGCCAAGGACGCAGGTGCAAGTCCAGTCGGTGTAAGTTGTTTAGAACACAGCACGCCAACAACCGCGAGTGACGGGTTTGCTTTAGGGATTGGCTTGCTATTCGTCACACAATTGAGCTATTTCCCCACTTGCCTGTGGAAAAACAACGCTGCATGGTAGCACTCATCAGGCATTCTCTGATCACTTTAAAGCCTTGATTCATCCCATACATGGCCGACAACTCGCCTCGGTGCTACGGTGGTACCATAAGGTCGCCGATGGCGGCTTCTTGATGGGGCTCTGCCCGTCTTATCGTCTTATCAGTACGCCCTTTGGTAGGTTGGGTTGACTCACAAAGTGGGAATTCCCTTGGGTTGGGGGGAACAGGGCGCGTTACAGTTCGTGCTCTTCTTGCCAGGTTCCCAGCCCGCGTCTTTCCCTTCGTCGCCCGTCTCCAACTTTCACCAAAGCTCGGTTTTTACGACTTGACCTACTCCGAGGCATCCCTGGATTCAAGCAGATTCCAAGGTAGACTGGTGGTCCTCTGCATGGTTGTCTGAAGAAATGGCTGGGCTTTGACCCTTCCCCCTTCTCAAAGCGCTGCTTCCAACGGGAACTTGGGCACCGTATTTCGACCTTTTTCAACGCTTACAATCGGGTTCTGTGCTCTCACCGCCAAACCCACGACGAGTTGAACGTGGTTCGGCTAGCTCTCCATCCTATCAGTGTCCATGATCTACTTACACCATATTGGAGTATATCGTCATTAAAAGACAGCCTACCATTTGGTATGCTCTGCATTTCCCCGCTACTGTTGGTAACATGCGGGCTGCTGTATTGAAACAAGCGAGCAACCTGGTTGCGAGGGTATGTGTTGCATTTTCTACTGTCACCATCTTCTCTGAACTTGCAGCACATGAGCTTACGCACCTCATACTAGGCCCCTTTTACTCTCGACTCATGTAGTCCGCCCAATTGCAGACCTTACCACCGCCCGGGATCAGGAGGCACACGCCAAGATGAAGCCTTAAAAAACGCACTCTCTGCAGTCCGTCACTCATCGAGCTCCGAAGCGCGGGAGAAAAAACGAGCGGAAGACAGGGTAATTGCTGTTGATCCTAACAAGTTGTGCTGTCGATATCTAACTCCAATCCAAGGACTTTATTGTATCTGTCTTAGAAGCGTCAGCTACCCGTCGTGATGCCAAGGGGTATCTTCAAAAATACGCCCCTCAGTTGGGTGAAGGCGACTCCAAGAAGCGCAAGACGAACGAGCTGCAAGGGCCAGCTGACCAGACTTACTCGTCCATTCGCGTTGTCAATCAGGCGCCAAAGTTCATACAGGGTAATGATTCCAAGTCTGAGATCACCGTTCCCTTTGATGAACACACCAACTTGGCCATTGTCAAAATTCGTCTTCCGCAAGACATTGACGACGAAGTGCTGAGCGCAATTGCCAAGACTTTGACCCAGCTTAGGAAGCTTGGCCTCGTGAGCCTCATTGTTCTAGATGGAGGACCAACCTCAAACCGAAAACTCGTCCGTGAACAGTCCTGGCGTATTCAGCAAGCCATTGACGTCTTTGGCGAGCCGGGCTGCATTCTGCTCGACCAGTGCGTCGCCGATGCTCAGTTAGCGACGGCTCAGACGGAGGGCTTTATGCCGTCCAGTATTTACGTCCGGCACCCTCATCTTTTGCTACGAGCTTTGCGGGACAACGCCATTGCGATAGTGCCTCCCGTCACAATGGCACACGACATGAGGAGCATTGACGTAGTTGATGCCGACGAAACCATAATCGCGCTTACAAAGTATTTCTGCGGGCTTCAGTTCAACACTTCTGAGCACCCAATTGAGTCAGCCGACTCCAGTCTTAGTCCAGGCCTTAGGGTTGCTTCGGTCGAGAAGGTCATCATTCTGGACCCAGCCGGGGGTACACCTCTATCTGATGCACACGACGACTCTTGCCATCGATACATCAATCTCGAACAAGAATTTGAGGGCATCATGTATGGGCTCACGCATCCTTCGGGGTCAGAGGCTCGGCGAGGCAAAGTACCAGAAGAAACACGACAGGTTCACGCCCGCAATCTTGACTTGTCGAGGAAGGTCCTTGCTATGCTACCCTCGACGTCCTCCGCCATCATCAGCACCCCTTCTGCTGCTGCGAACAAACCCATTGAGGAATTCACCAGGGTTACAACGCGCAACAGACAGAATCCCCTGATCCATAACCTTCTGACGGACAAACCCGTCTTCTCGTCGTCACTGCCCCTTGAGCGGGTGCGGTCGGGGAAAAAGGCTGATGCAGCAACCGGCGGGACACACGTGGCAACCTTGCTCAAACGCGGCATGCCTCTTACGGTATACCCTGATCCTACAATTAGTGCCTGGTTGCCGCCCCGTCCGGGAGGCCCACGCCTCAGGCTCACAGACACCTGCATAGACCTGCCACGACTGGCTCATCTAATCAATGATTCTTTCAACCGTGAGCTGGACGTTCAGCATTATTTGGAGCGCGTCAACGAGAATCTAGCTGGTGTCATAATTGCCGGTGAGTACGAAGGCGGGGCGATACTGACGTGGGAGAGGCCATTTGGGTTAGACGAGGAGACAGCGTACAAGACTGGACGCCTCGTTCCGTATCTGGACAAATTTGCGGTTCTTAAAAGCCGACAGGGCAGTGGCGGTGTTGCTGATGTGGTTTTTAACGCCATGGTGAGGGGCTGTTTTCCGGAGGGTGTCTGTTGGCGTAGTAGACAAGACAACCCTGTCAACAAGTGGTATTTTGAACGGTCACTGGGTACGTGGAAGCTGAAGGACACCAACTGGACCATGTTCTGGACAACTCCTCATCTGCCGCTGAGCGATCCGAAGTTGCTGGACTATGAGGATGTTTGCCGCAACATTGAGCCATCGTGGGCGGACTTCAAGCCACCGGATTAGAACGGATGTAGGCGAGGACTATAGCGCTCTGTGATTCGAGCACAAGACTATAAATGAAACGACTAGAAGGAGCATGATTTCCGCATTCACGAAGCAAAATCTCGGCTGATAACGAAAAGTGCAGATCAAGTGACTAGGCAGTTATACAACTGACACGACGTGGGGATGGCTCGATTCTGTTTTTTGTTCTTGCACTTGGATGGGGGAAGAGAAAGAGTGCAGAGGACGATCAACGTTGCGAGTTTGTCTCTCCCAATTATGCATGCATAACTTTCGAAACGCTGGTGTAGTATCCGTACAAGTGATGAAAGGAATGAAGGGAGAGTACTCCGTACCTTACTAGCTGTCTCCATATATCACGTGCTTTATAGGCTGTTCCAGTATTCCCTGCACTGGTTGGCTGATGTGACTGACCCCCCAGACAGCTTGTGACAGCATGCTGCTCTGCAGCCAATTTAAGATACTGGATACTTGTCTACCTTGCTTGAGCTGATAGCAGGCACGACACGAGGCAGCATTTCCGTGTCTACAAACCACCACCATCCTTCCAACAGACGCATCTTTTCTGTTGCAAGTCGAGTCGCATCTCTCTAGTCCGTTTTCATACAATTCCAACCTTCATCCAGGACTGTCGCAAAGATGGACTTCAAGAATTTCGGCAAGAACATTACGTACGTCTTGTCCATGTATTCTTTGGAAAGGCTATCTTGAGGTGCTTTCAGGCTGACGAACTACCCTCAACCGCAGCTCCTTCGGGGCTTCCATTACCCCCTTCGCCTCTCGTACATTTCAGTACACCAAGGAGCAGCTCGGCCAGGCTGAGGACAAGGTACGGGACCGCCGGCGCCGATCGGACATCGGTTGCTTGACGAGAGGAGCTAACAATTGCGACCTTAACAGACCCAGCTCCCGCCCGACTACATCGACCTCGAGAAGCGCGTCGATGCTCTTAAGCAGGTTCACCAGAAGATGTTGGCTGTAACGTGAGGATCTCCAACGACTTCCACCAAACCAACAATCAATCACTAATACCAACACGTGAAGCTCTCAATACTCGAACGAGGCCTATGATTATCCCCCCAATCTCAAGGAGACCTTCCAGGACCTTGGCCGCACCGTTAGCGAGAAGGTTTCCCTGCTCTCTTCTGCCGCCTCTCCTGCGGAGGCTCAGGCCGCGCTGACGGCCCCTCCCACCGCGAAGCCCCAGCCCAAGACCTTCAACCATGCCATTGCCAGAGCTAGTCTCTCCAGCAGCCAGGTCTTGCACCAGCAGCACACCGGTGCGGGGGAGGACCCTTTAGCTACAGCGCTTGAGAAGTACGCCTTGGCCATGGAGCGCGTCGGCGAGGCCCGCATGGCCCAGGATGCCCAGATCCAGAGCCGCTTCCTTGCTGGTTGGAACACCACCTTAAACACCAACCTCAAGTTCGCTACTCGTGCCCGCCAAAATGTCGAGAAGTCGAGATTGACCCTTGATGCCGCCAAGGCCCGCGCTCACGGTACCACCTGGAAGATCGGCCCCGGCTCTCCCCGTCCGGATGAACACCAGCCTCAAGAGCTGAGCCCTGAGGCACAGGAAGAAATTGAGAAAGCCGAGGACGAGTTCGTTACGCAGACCGAAGAGGCTGTCGGTGTCATGAAGAATGTATGTGGCCACAATCCCCTTATCCGCATCGTAATCGTCGCTAATGCACACGACAGGTCCTTGACACCCCTGAGCCCCTTCGCAACCTTGCCGACCTCATTGCTGCTCAGATTGAGTACCACAAGCGGGCTTACGAGATCCTGAGCGAGCTTGCTCCCGTTGTGGATGGTCTGCAGGTTGAGCAAGAGGTTAGTCGCGCATCGAACTACGCCGTCTAACAAGCCCCGTCCGTGCTGACGCCTTCGCTGCAGGCCAGCTACCGCAAGAGCCGTGAAAATGCCTCTTAAGCAACTGGAACGAGCGATACGTTCTTTAAAATCACCACCGCTGTGCTGGCAGCTTCCTCATGCCTAGGCCCAGACCATGCCATGAAGTGTCGAACTGCGGCGACTGAAGTGCTCCAAAGGCTGGAAAAAAAGTCGGTTTCTTGAGTTCCCGCCAATCTAGTGGAACCGCCTCTGCCATACACCATTTCTCGCAATGGAATAACCCTTCATTCTGTATGGCATTTTGTCGCTGCTAGGACTCGCATCCCCATCCAACGACTGGGGGTTAGAGACAAAGACGCACTGATACGTCCATTCATGTTTTTTTCTACGACCGATGAATATATAGCTCTTTTCGTGTTCTTGCAAAGCCCGATTTTTTTTAGTAGAAAAAATTGCTACGTTCAGTGATGTCAAACATTCAATAGCACTACGTCCATGTTCGCATATATCGCTTGATATGAACCAATCGGAGGAGTTGAAGCGGATCTGGCTTGCTGAGGAAGCGTTCACATCTTTGTTTGGAATCGTTGCAAGATGGGGGTTTTTCTTCCTCTTCTTTTCCAACCATATCCTAGGATCGACTGCCATCCGTCCAAATAGTTTTAGACATCAAGATTTCGGTGGCTGGCGTTTGACAGCGGGAACCTACCTCGATACCTAGGCAGGTAATATCGCAAGTCCACCTGTTCAGCGACTCCTGCGTCATGGCAGAATATCACGTGATCTGAGCGTGCTGACTTATGTAAGGAAATCTACTGGTCAATGAAAGCAAAGCGACCATTGCCATTCCGCGTGCAGTTCCCGACCTCACGCTCCACAGCTCTACTCCCCAAACGTCGTCACCCGAATTCGAGCCAATTGATACCGCAATCATGCGAAGGACATTTCGCCTGCTCGCGGGCGTCAAGCCTGCTAGGTATCTCGAACCCGGCACACCGACGGGCCTAACGGGCCTTTGGACGCACAACAGTCCCCGGTCGACCTTGCTGTACCTGTACAGCACCACCCTCGAGAAGCTCAAGACATTCCCCGAGTCCTCTCTGTACCGTCAGTCTGTCGAAGCCATCACAAAGCACCGCCTCAATCTCGTCGAAGCGACGGAACCCCCAGGTTTCGCTGAGTGGGAGAAGAAGGCCGCGCAGATCTTCAAGGAGAAGCCCGAACAGTTCCACCTCGTTAGCGGCCGTGTTGACGGCAGCGGCTCCCGGACGGTGAAGCTCGGCAACCGAACATTCATTATTGGCACTCACCACGACGCTAAGGACATTCGCGTTGAGGAATGGGACGGCGAGAAGGACGAGGGCGGTACCCTCGAGGGTCTCCGTACCGAGACTGAGCGGAAGGATCACCAGCTTCTTGCCAGCCATAAGGATCTGAACGACATCGCCAAGGTTGAGTTGGAGCCCGAGCCGCAGTTGACGGCCGACCAGTATGTTTACCGATGCACTGGTAGAGAGGGATCGGGCTCAATGGCATTGCATATATACTGACTGGTTTTGCGCGTCCTGTAGGATCTCCGAGCTGGAGAACAAGATTGGAGCTGGCCTCATTGAGGAGGTCATTCAAGTCGCCGAGGGCGAACTTAAGCTTGTCGACGTGATGAAGCAGGCCAAGGTGTACGTTCCCCCCTCCGCCCCCCTCTTCCAGCCTTTGGGCTCCGCGCGTGCTGACAGTTGCTCATCAGGTGGGAGGACCTGGAGGAGAAGCCCGTCGAGGGCCAGTGGACCTACTTTGAGCGCAACTCCGCATAGGCCGGACCGCCTGCAGCAGAAAATCGTCTACGCGTAATAGACAATGTATATTAGGCGACTGTGATGACCAAGATACATCAAGCCGTTACTTCTTCGCATTAGTCACTGAATGTGTGCACATGTAACCCTTTGCAGCTTATAGGGATTTATGCTTATCAAGAGCGCTGAAGCAAAGTGCTCTCAAGATCTTTCTGGTTACTGCTGTCTTCGTAACACAGGAAAGCATAGACTTGGCGGTCCATGTTTCTATCGCAATAGTAAGATTTGGGCTGCGCAATACCGATTGAGGACGTCCAGTCCACAAGAGAAGCATTGCGGCTTGGCAAAGCGGCCGATTGCATTGCCTGGTAATCCGAAAGTGCATACTCTTGGTACTGAGTGAATACTGGTAGCATCCAGGGGACCAAGTCCGGATATGCTGATGATAACGTTACCTTTGTTAAGAAAAATGCTATAGTGACACATAGATTGGGTTCAGGCTGTTGAACCAAGACTCAGAATTATCGGTTCCTGCAGAGTTGGTTGATAGTAGCACGTCCCAAAGTAACCGTGCAACTTGGGCAACCTATACTGATGCAGGAGGGAGTCCCCACTTCGCCTTTCATCGAATTCTCGCCTCCGACATCCCATAACTTACACCAACAAACCAACCTCACTCCAAGTCGCTGTCCGAACACAAAACGACGATATCCGACATCCCACTATCTAATTTAAAAGGCATGCTCACAATCAGCAGCCTCTTCCCTCCGTTCGCATTGTCATATCGTCATTTCCGGTCGTCAATTGTGGAAGGCGGCAATGAGCCAACCAGCTTCCAGCCGCAAGAGGTCGGCATCGGCCATGTCCATGAGTGACAGCCAAGACGCCCGCTACGGCTCTCAACTTCCTAATGACTCCATAAATCCTCTCAGTCATACACCCTCCGTTTTGCTCCAGCTTCGCCTCGCTGGACTCACGGAGATGGACCAGCCTCCTTCGCGGACGCAGCCCAGGTTCCCGCACCGCGCGTGGCAGGACCCGGATGCGCCGAGTGGAAGGGGATCCGTCGCCGCTGCCAAGTCCCTGGTAAGCAGCGAATTAGAAGAAAGCAACGGTCAGGAGATGGAAGAAAGCTCTGGCGATTATGAGGGGGGGCGGAGGAGGAGGAAAAGAGACGGGGAGATGAAGGCCAAGTACGCCTCCGAGAAATCGCTGTTCCGGCCCTTGGTTCGCGCCATCTACGGGTTCCTGGACAAGGGTGACACGTCCAGTGCCAAACGCGCCTTTGGGATCCTCGTGAGGTCCCACGTCCATGGGAAGCCGGTCGACATCAGGCGAAATAACTACTGGGCCCTTGGTGCCGAGATCCTTATGCGCGAGGGCGGCGGTCCCTTCGCCAGCGCCGCAAACGACAGACCAGGAAGGGAGGAGACGTACCCCGCGTCGAACGTTCCCCGGGTGCGCGAGTACTTCCAAGACCTCATTCAACGCTACCCGTACAACTTCAAGTATCGTGCCGCCGTCTCGGCCGTCGACTTTTGGCCCGCGCTGCTGAGCTACGAGGTGTTCCAGATCCATACGCAGCACGAATCGTATCTGCGGCAGCTGGAGCGCGAGGCCGAGGACTGGGAGGACGACTCTTTGCAAGAGGCGTTGTTGCTCGGCGGTGGCGACATGATGATAGACGACGCTGACTTCGGGACGCCCGCCTGGCAGCCCGATGCGCGGAACCGACGGCTGCGCCAGGCGAGGGATCAGATTCGCCTACGCTCGCTGGATGCGCTGCGCGAGATCGCGGGCCGCATGGACGACTTGCTCGAGGACCGGCCGTTTTCGCACAGTCATGAGCTTCTGCGGTTACGGGGAATGGTGTCATTATACATCGGCGACCTGCTCATCCCGGCATACAAGGACACGGATGGCCAGATAACCGAGGCAAGGATACGGCGTGATGCAGAGAGGAATAACGCACGAAGCAGCTTCCAGAAGATGGTGGAACACGGCGGACGACCTGATGTGTTTATTCAAAATATGCTCGCCTCCGCCGAGCACGACGAAGGCCCCATTCTGCTGGTTTTCTCGTCACTTCCTATTCGAGAGTACCGCACGGCTATCTAGAAGTGGTCGTCGGTGTTTTTCTGAATAGGTGAGGCACAAAGAGCTGATAAAGAAAGGAGCATGTGCCACCCCCTTTTTTTTTCACGGCCGTCCGCAGGCACAATTCGATTCTTCTGTTCTTCTCTCCTTTTAAGCCTCCCTCTTAGATGGTGCCCACCTTTGCAGCACCAGAGCGAAGTTAGAGCTGCCCACGACGACGCACCACTGACCTCCCGGACTCCACGCTACCTGTCTACCCACAAACGTCGATGCGCCGCAGTTCTCTATCTTATGGGGCTTGAGAGGTGCTTGGGGGTTGCTCACACTGTATTTGCCATTCCACATGTCCAGTGTTTCCTGATTGAATTGAGCTTTTAGCTCAGGCACCTGCTCGAGTTCTGTGCGATGAACCTTTTCCGCCGCCTTTCTCTCCCGGACGGTTAGCCCCGATTTGGCACTACCGGTGCTCCTGTGAGTGATGGCATTGAGCCAATTGGGTTTCGACGGGGGCTCCTTGCCGTCTCTTCCCGGTCTCCTAAGGGCATTGACATATTCGTGGAAGCCGGTGATCTGCTCAAAATCCCAGAAGTAGATTTTACCGGTGGCGTTACAGAAGGCCAAAATGGGATGTTGGTCAGGGACAAAGTGCAGTTTAAACCGCATGAAGAACTGCGGGCCACAGCCGGGGGTCTGGAACTCGATCAGGCGGGTGTAAGGGGCCGGGCACTCCGCCGAGACTCCCGGGTTAAAGGCAGATCGGGTGAGGTTGGCTGGATTGATAGTGGTCGGTGCCATGGACTGCGGCGGGGGCGGATCCTGAGATGAGAAACCCTCAATTTTCCACAGGACGATGACATCATCGTGACAGGCTCGGGATAGGATGTAATCGCCGAAGAAAGAAACGCTGGAGGACGTAAGCTAGCTGTTGCAATTGTAACTATGTCTCTCGTGTTGTAGAGCACCTACCAATCTACGAGACTGCTGTGCACCTCGGATGTAGAGAAATGAGGGTAATGAACCTCGACCGGACGGTTTGTAGGCTCAGTCGGAAGGTCTGGCACCGTCCACTGCCCGTTGCGTTAGTTGGCGGACGGCATCATATAGCTGAGACACAACTCCTACCAGGTTGATTATCTGATCGTGACCGGCCGAGAGGATATAACGACCAGTGTCATGCCAGGCCTTGTGCTCCTATTAGCAACAGACTCACGAGTGGATACCGAGGAGAATTTCTCGACAGACCAATGTCAGCAAGTTCCAATAATGACCCTCACCTCCGAGAATACACAGACAAGGCTGTTTCTCATGCTTGGGATCCAGACTCCATATCCGGACTGTAGTGTCGTCGGAACACGAGGCGATGATCAAGGGGTCGATAGGTGAGGTAACCACATCACAAACATCCTGCCGTTGCATCAGTACGACTCTTTTTTGAAAGAATCGAGACAAGACTCACTCCTCCATGACCAACTAGACACTGAGTGAGGTGTGAGCAAACATGTTATACGGGGGTCTGGTGCATGGCTTTTGCCCCCACTTACGTTAACAAGCTTGCCCTCAACGATGTCGTAGACTTTGATCTTGGCATCCTCGCCGCCATAGCATAGCAGTGGCCTTCCCGTCACTGCATCTCGAGTCCAAGTGCAGTAATAGTTTCTAGCCTCGGCCTGCAGGTCCAGTCAGTCACGGATGGTCGTGGGGGCAGTTCGGTTGTTGGGGATGGATGCACATCATCATCACGAATCACGCTGATTATCTCGCAAGGATTGGAGTCATCGGTGGTTGCCGTCAGGCGGCAAACAACAATCTAATAACAAAAAATAAGTCCATGCCCGGTCCAACAAGGGGCCTGGCGGCAAGCGGCGTGCAGGAAGACAACTTACATGCTTTTTGCTAACTGCAGCAAAAATGGAGCTCGCATCCAGTGGCTGATAAGGACAGAATTTGACATCGAAGAATTCTGTGCAAAAGCGGATTAGATCCGGTCTGGGGCACTGGCAGAATGGCATCAGAACTTACCAGGCACGGGGTCATCTTGAGCGAGGTATCTGGTATCATCCTATAGCCAACGTCAGCAGGAGGCAGGGGTAAGTACACCAAGACGAGGCATTGCGTGTAGTTGCTGGGGTTGTGCAGTGATGCAATTTTCACTGGCATTTATCCGGAAGGAACTAGGTTCATGGACAAGTCGGATAGTCACAACAAGAGGGGCCTTGGCATGATTGGTGTGAGCTGGCACACATACCTCAAGATGGACCGAGACTCTTAACCTTGGAAAGTCGTAAGGAGTCGGTGTGGATATGGGGGCCATTGTCAGATCGCGACTATTGAGGTTGAGATCAGATGTCTGAGGACACAACGAGAGGGACCACGTTCGAGCGATGGGGCTGAGTGTTCCCTTTTGCTGGGACGCTATTCGCTGTTGTCAGTAAGTTGAGATTCGACAGCTAGAGAGTCCAGGGCGGGAGGGTTCCAAGTAGTACGTGTGCGGCGGTGGTGGGCTGGGGCGTGTACGAAACAAGGAGGCACAAGACGCGTCTCAACGCGGTTACGGCAGATTCAGGCGGCAGACTGGTGGGCAAGGGCAGAATAGGTGTGTAAGTGAAAGAGTAGTTAATTAGGTAGGTTAGGTACCTTACGTGGGAAGGCGGCTAAAATTGGCATTGGCTAGAGCGCAAACGTTGCAGCCGGCATGTGGATGCGAAGCGGATAACAAGAAGAGGGCGGACTACTTCCCAAGGATGCAGTGAGTTGCAAACGTGGGGGGTTGAGCCAATACTGTAATTGAGTTGGAGTTGCTGTCTTGACCAACGACATGCAGGATTTTCAGCAGTTCCTTTCGGGGTTGGATGTGCCCGGGCCAAGTCCCGCCTCAGTGGAGGGGCCCGATGTAGGTGTACACGTGCGTAAGGTTAGATTGGTAGTAGAAATTAGCGTCCACGTCGCTTCTGAGATCCCATCCGCCCAGTGTTTGAATCAAGGGACTCAAAGCTAAATGCCAGCAACGGTGCGCCAACACTGATGATCCCACACAGACTGGTTGTGTCTCGGGAGCGAACGTCGACAATGCAGGAAACGGCAGGCAGACACACTACCGGTAGCACAGACAAAGTCGTCCGTCTGTGTGTCCTTCCCGTCGTTCCCCAACCCTTCCGTTGGGGTTTGGACCTGCACAGCTCGTCCGCTCGGCCAATCTTGACTATAGCCAGACCATGGGACGACACACACTACAGATAGGTACCTACCTGCCTACCTGGGTGCCTGTACGGAGTACCAAGGCAGGTACACGTGGAGTACGCTACTACTAATCGTGCGGCAAGCAAGTAGCCTGGATCTTTGAGGAAAGTGGGTGCCTCTGGCGTGATCTGTGTGCTTCTTGCAGGAGGAGGGTACGAACAGGCAGGTAGGTACCTAAAACCTCTCTCGCCATGGTCAGTACCATCAACCTCTTATTACCGCACGAATCTGTACATGTGTGCAGGACAGGGAGCATTGTCGGCGGCGACCTTTACAAAAATGGTTGCATGATCCCGTGACAAGCCGAGCGTGTAAATACGTCCGATCCCCCGGTATGTATCACTTGTCGCCGGCACATGTTACACAATGCCTCCTCTCATCACCGCCTTTGAACCTCACCGCCAGCCCGTTCCTACCTGCCTACCAACCATCAACACGGCGATCTTTCCAGACACGGCATCCCAATCCCAATGGCAATGGCATAGGGAGCGGGAATACGTCATCCATGGATGTGAGAAATGACTGCACCGCTCGACTCACAGACCCCTCACAAACAAATAGCCATCAGACCCAATCGGAGACTCTCGATGCCAGCAATCCATTTCAGCATGCCAGAATCGATCACCTTGGATGGCCTCCACGCTCTCTCTTAATGCTACATTATGACTCCGCCTATTAGTAGCATGGATCCAGCGATTGCGCATGCCCCATGCAAGCCACGCCTCATGGAGCTGCGCTCCGCCAACTGCTGCAAATAAACCTGCCCCATCGTGGGTTGTCGTCCGTGGCCCGAGCTCTAGTACAATAGGTAGGTACGCGCGGTTGCGGATGCAATAGTGATATCTCCATGTTCGTCATACAGTTATTCTGCTACCCAGCAATGCCGCTATCTCGGCGTCCTGCATAGATGTGGTCCACCTCCACCAGTGTCATCATGTCGAATAAGCAATAAAATGGCCGGGCCCCTTTAGCGATGCGATGCCTAAGAGCCAGTCCAGGTGTCTCCGATGTTCCAACTCAACAAAGGTCGCATTTGCCATACGAGTAGTAAGTCCCGCCTTTGGAAGCCTCTTTCCTGGGATGGAATCAAGAATCACCGGCGCTATGTGTGATGTGCTGCACAGTCATCCATTGGACAGTCACAACAAGGCTGGAACCCTGTGATACTTTGGCAAGGGACAGCTTGAAGTGATGAGGGGGGGAAACCGCGACTGCGACCGCTTACACAGGGATCCTGGCAGCCGATCCCAACTGGTGAGCCGGGTAACGATGTCTTCACAGCTGTCAGCTAAATCAGACGTCAAGCTATGCCTAGCAGAGTGTAGCGCATTGCCCCTACTTACAAAGAGCACTCAACTTCTCGACCCATATGAATGTCATTTTAGCCTTTTCACCTGCATTGCGATGTCTTGGGAGAGAGATCAAAAACCAGAAGTGGGAGGGCTTGGATGGAGGAATGGGCTTGCCTGCCCTGCAATGTCCGTCGGCGGTCAGTTCGAACTGGGACAAATGGCCACAGTCTTGCAGGCTCGTCCTAAATAGGATAAGAGCGGTCCATTACACCCCTCTGAGAGATCCTTAGACCCATGTCTGCTGTTCGGTATCGTGGACAAAATCACTGGAGGAAGTAGTTCGTTAACACCAGTCGGCATCGTTGGGCTTTCCAAAACGGAATGACTGATGCCAGAAAGTTTTCTCTACTCTAGTGTACATATAGCACCCCGATCTTGGTCCATGTACTTCCGCGAGACTAAGACGGTAACTGGCACGCACTGGCTGCTTAATGTCCGACGACAATATCAGACTGGATGCCGCAGATGAGCAGGAACCCATCGCCCGGGATTGTTCTTTCTTATCTTTCCCCCCCGTTAGAACCCAGTTTCACCGGCTGGTTACCTTGGAGAGCCGTCAAAACCTGTCCTCCGTACGGTTCATTGGCACATGGAAACGTTGGCAAACGGTTCTGTCTCAATGCTTACAATCTGACTGAATGCCTAGCCTTCGAGCCCTCAACCGACAAATGCTACTGCCGGACGCACACGCATCAAGGGATCGACTGTAGACTGACACTGTATACCGTTAGTGCCCGTCTCTTGTCTAGGGCGATCCGAGATTGAGGGCAACTCTGGTCAAGAGTACCCGATGATTTCATCGACAGCAAGATCAGATGGCCAGGTACACCGTTGTACAAGCCAGTGATCATTTAAACAGTAGTCTTATCTGGGGCGTGCACGATGCTTCGTACAGCTTGTTTTTGATTACTGTTCGTCCTCTCGGGCTTTCGGAGTCGAAGCGATACCAAGGACGAATGCCGGTGCACTCTTTTCTTGTCTTGTCTTGGCTAGCCCAGTCAGATTTTACCCCTCTTCACCTCCGTCTCTCAAGAAGCAGATTGGACCCTGATGTATCGTCTTGTATCGAACTGAGGCACGTACCCAAGGCGGTCCCGCCCAAGGTCGCACAGTTACACAGTCTTCTATCGAAATGGCGCTGATCTGCTGCGCGCGGCCTGGCCTAACAGTCCCAACACGGGGCCAAAAGCAAAAACCGCCACATGTTAAGAACAGGGAAAAGGCGTGGCTGCAGAGAGTTTTGCCCCGCCACCAACATTGAAAGGATTAAGGGCATATGTCGTCCTTCTTCACCAACGTCAGCGATACATGTATCTATATGCTTTTATATGCAGTATATAGATACACATGACTCTGCACCGAGTAGTGTACACCAGTGTGGGGCCCTGCACGCAACATGGCCTTTGCGGCATACACAGAGAGAGGTAAACTGGCAAACTGACGAAGGATTGAGCTGCTGCCTTCTGTGCAAGATTAGGAGAGAATTTGTCCTGATTGCCCATGTTTCCGATGTGTCTTAGGATCGGCTGCTCTGAACTTTTCTACTCTGCCCATGAGCATACCACTGTATCCGTAACTTAAGTAGATTACGCGCACGCTTCTGGAGACACACGCACAGACACACACACAGGCACCCATTCCGTGCATCCAGCTGCAGGGGTCGCAGTCCAAGGTCGAAAGTCGAGGGTGCCCCTGAAGCTTTTCCAGCTAGGTACCTAGTTTATGTCCCGTAGTTTCCACAGCGTAGTATCCGTACCTGAGCCCTTGCTGGCTGGGCCCTGTCGGTTCTCCTCACCAACCTTGCCCGTTTTTCGAAGCCGCTGACCGGGGGGTCCTTGGGGGTCGGAGCTTACACTGTAGAGCAGAGGGGACTGACTGGCTGCATGGTGGGCTGCGCGGTGCTGTCACAGACCACACCTAACTGGACCTCGTCGCCGCCTGTCGTCCTTCAACAACTGAACGAACTGTCATAAAAAGATGCTCGCCTCCTACGCCAGTCGCGCTGCACTTCATACCCTCCTCCCAAACACTTCTTCACTCTCCTCTTCCTCTCAGCCCCTGCTACACTATTAGGTGTATTGTCCACATTCTCCCCTCTACGATACCGGGCTCAACGGCCTTCTGCATTGCATTACTACCTGATAACCAGCCAACCCGCCCCGTTCACCGGACGAGTATCATTACCTTGCCTTTACTTCAACAACTACGTCAGGATTTGTAGCATTTGTACTAAAGTGCCGCAACGTGCTGTTTCCGCCAACGTTGACCCCAGTTTATCTAATACCACCGCTGTCGCCACCAACGGTCCTCCTACCTTGGAACGGACCGCGCCCTTTCCACTCCCGACAGCATATCTCAACTTCCTCCCTGCCCCCTCTGTCTCATTCTTACGGTCTGCCATAACCCGCTCTTGGCCGCCATAGGCAGCGAATCATCCCTGGTGCGCCCTTACTTGTACCGTTCATAGCTACGTGTACGATTCCGCCCGGCCCCTCACACATAGCCGCTGCCCTGAGGGTTATAGCTCCGCCCGAACCTCCCACTGTACCAGTCCACCTCATCAGCATACTGTTTCGTGAGAACGTCTGCCTTTAGCCGGCAAGATAACGCTTACCCGTGTCTATTGTCAACAACTGGCGCGCGTCAAAAGTGTCAATCCCCCGAAGCACGAAGGCTCAGTTCAGGACGGTTCTTCTCAAACGATCGTCGCCGCCGGGGAAGTAGCCATCTGTTCTACGTTACGCAAAACTGCGGTTTTTTTCTAAGGCTGTTTACTCAACTTGAACGACAGCTTTTGAGCCCTACGCGTCTGGTTGGCATCCAAACCCCTGGACAAAGCACGGCGGAACGAGTATAATTGCAGCTAGCCAGACGTATACACGAAGCCTTATTCCTGCTGCCGCGAGCACAACGGTTCTTTGCAATGGAACAGACGTTTATGACGATTCATTCCACGGACCCTAGCGCTGCTATTCTGTTCGTGTCCGACTCAGTATTCGACATACTGGGTTACACCCCTCAGGAGGTGCAAGGGAAGTCATGCTTCGATTTTTTCCACCCCGATGAGGTGCCTTTCGCTCGTTCTGTTCACAGTCGCGGCGTCCTGCTTGATAAGGCCGCCGTGCTTCACTATGTTCGTATTATGTCACGCGACGGCCAATGGGTGAGCTGCGAGTGTTGCTTCACAGTTGTCCATGACGTTCTGGTCGCTTGCACCAGCATCTATCGGCGCGGAGAAAAGAGCGAAAGTAAGCGAGCATTCTGACCCGTCGACCTGCAGGCCACTTCATACTGACCTATAACCAGGACGAGCTTCTGAAGCCCCTCAGATCCGTCGACTTTTTTCCAGCTCTCCCCGAGACCCTCGTTACCACATGTTGGAGCATCTGTCACCTAAGTTCAGGATGCCTCCTGTTGAGCGTGAACCTCGCGCAGCCCTTATCCTGAATCGGTTCACCCGCACGCTGACTGTCATGTTTGCAACCAACGCTGTATCTTCTATCCTCGGCGTCCGGCCAGACCAGATCAAGGACAAGAGCTTTTACGAGTGCATCCAAGAGAATTGTCTGCCGGATGCCATCAGATGCTTGGAGAGTGCGAAGGCCAACGACTCCATTGCGTACCTAAGGTTCTGGTATCGAGACCCGCGGCGGCCAGAGGATTTCGATGGTGACGATGATGAAGAGCATCAAAGCGGTAATTCGAGTGATTCGGATGGTGGCGGCGTTCAGCTCGACGATCAGCTCGACGATCACATGGACATCGACGACGATGGCCCTCAGATCAAGCAAGAACAGCAGATTCGGCCTGGTTTGCCATCAAACCACAGCTCCGCAGCACACACCGTAACCACAGACGCCTCGGGTTCAAGCAACGGAACGCAGCAGACTGCGGCCACCTCGGCTCCGTCTATCGATGGCGCAGCAGCCCAGCCATCCTCGCCGGCGGGGCGCCCAAGAAACCGTCGCCAAGAGCCGCCTGCAGCCTTTGAGCTTGAGGCTGTCGTGTCATGCACGTCGGACGGACTCGTTGTCGTGATCCGCAAGGCGCGCCCCCCAATTCCAGCGGCTCATCCACCGCTGGTCGTGCCGACTTATACAAACGGCCTATTCGCCGCGCCTTGGGGCCAATATCCGATCCGGCCTCAAGTCCCGCAGGAGACGCTGCATACGTTCAGGCCTCCCCTCATGCCTCAGTACATGCCTCTGCGTGACAATGTGATGGATGCTGGAGGCCCACATGTCGACCACCTCATGAACTCTATCAGGGATGTTGCTGTTTTCGCATGGGCGCTCGTGGGCATCAATGGCAGCCTTGCCACATATACGCGAGGTTTGCCGCGTGACCACGCTCAGCCTGACGGACTCCCTGTATGGGACCCGAGCGCTGGGAGTGCCTCGTATCTCGGCCCGGAGAACCAGGCGGTCCGGCGTTGGGCAAACTATGACAAGGAGAAAAGGTTCGGCTCAGCATCCTCGTACCAGCAAGCACACCCTCATGGCGCGATGTCCCGCCACGAACACGTCCCTCAAAGCGGTATGAACAGCTACATCTACTCGCAGCCGCCGCCGCCCACATGGCCTGGCCTACAACCTGCTTATACGTCCGCTTTCGACCCTTTCACAAACAACAGCCATCGACCAGACTACCGACATCAACAATGTTTGCAGTGTCAACAAGACCGTGCTCGCCATAACCACCCTAGTCATCACCAGTCACACCAACAGCACCATCATCAACATCAACAACATCATCATCAACAGCAAGCGCATGGCTATGGGCATCAGCTAGCGTTGCAGGACCCTTCACAGGACGAGATTCCGCTACCGTACAATGGACAAGGACATGTCAACAGACAACCTTACGATCATTCCAATGACCGCTCCACCGGACCCCCCAACGGGGATTTTAATGGTGGCCCAAACAATCCGACCGGCAACAATGAGCCGTCCAGTGGCTACCGCTATCCCTGGCAGTAGTCAAAGAACCCGTGGTGAAGAGAGCGGCTACGGTGTTTGAGATATTATTCAGCTTTTATTAACATTAGGAGTGGGCGAGGATGTCAGCTTTTGAGGGATAGCCTGCATGGCTCTTGGCAGACGGAACAACGTGGATATACTGACAAACTTGACATCGATGAAGCAGCAGATTATGAGAAACTTGACGTTGGGTCTTCCGCAATTTCCTAGAAAGAGCGGCAGGAGAAGATATCCGCGAGGCCTCTCACTCGCTAAGGGGACGAAGGCGTTTGGAGGCATTAGAGCTTCCAGGTAGACTTAACATCAACGTAATGAGCAAAAGCAGCACATCAAGTGCCAAGTGATCAGGACGCGTAATTCAAATCATTTACGTTTACAGAGAACAAAGTCCGTCGGTTGGACTGTGCTTCGCAGGAGACAGTACAAGTAACCAAGAGGGCGGTAATCCACAATGAAGAAGGCCAGGCGTCGAGGGGTGTCTACAACACCTAGGTGTACGATGTAGGTAGGTACCAGCCTGCTAAGGTACCTAACGACCTACCTAGGTAGGTAGGTACCTACACTAAACTTCAACTTGGGCGCTTGCCACAAGGGAGAGCAGTCGGGAGGGCGGACCACCTTTTTCCGGATTCAGGGAGCTTGGACCATAATACCTACGTGTAAGAGGAAACCGTGGACCCTTTCCCATGAGGGAGCCGCAAGCTGCTACGTACGTCAATTAGACATTCTGCCTATCCCATCTTGAGTTCAGAAAACCACAGGGCCACGAGCAAACCAAACAAACTAACCGGTGGAGGCATCGGCTCAACTGCACAATCGTGCAAGACTAATCAACAGGAGCGGAGCATCGAGATTGTAGGTGTATCGAAACTAAAAGACTTGCAACCATGGCATCCACAAGCAGACGCGACGATTACGCCAACCCTCCCTTGCCCGACGACGACCTGATTGACCCTGATGATGGTAAGGTTCCATGGCTGCCTGCAGGCTGTTGAAGCCCCTGGAGCTAATCACATACTCACTCACAGCTGATCTTGACGATTTCGATGACCCTCTCGCCAATACATCGTCACGTCAACCGCTGACGGGCAACATCGGCTCGGGCTCCTCCTCGTCGCGGCCGCTCAACGAGAACGCCTGGACCTCTAGCATACCTGGCGAGGATCGCGCTGCACCGCAAAACACAATTGACGAGTCGGTATGGGACACACTCCGCCGAGATTTGCTCGCCGTCTGGGCCAAGATGAGGGAGGTCCTATATCCCAAGTACCTGCTTGGAGGGACCATGTTTGATGCTGACGGCATCCGAGGGGCATATGCAAACATTCGCGGAGCTGGGTTTTCTGGCGCTCGGGAAGAGATCACCGGTCTGGCCAGCCGTTTCATGGATTCGGAGGCGCTGCTGTCGCAGAACAACATGACGCCGGGCCTGCGCGACTGGGATCTCTGGGGCCCTCTCATTTTCTGCTTGCTCCTCAGTCTTCTCCTAAGCTTCAACGCACGAGCTGATCAGAAGGACATTGTCTTCAGCGGAGTATTTGCCATGGTCTGGATTGGAGAGGCCGTTGTGACGCTGCAGATCAAGCTGTTGGGAGGCAGCATGTAAGTCAACTTCGTCCGTTGCAAGGGTGGCCTGTCGGTCGTCTCTTGTAAGTAAGCAGCCGCTGACGAAATACGATAGCTCCTTCGCACAGAGCGTCTGTATCATAGGATACACACTGTTCCCGCTGGTGATCGCGGCGCTTCTCTCGGCCTTTGGCATCCCAACCGTCGCCCGTGTTCCCGTCTATCTGTTCCTCGTCGCGTGGTCTCTGGCCGCAGGCGTGAGTATTCTGGGCGGCAGCGGCGTGGTGAAGAACCGTGTCGGCATCGCAGTGTACCCGCTATTCGTCTTCTACCTTGGTCTGGGCTGCCTCTGCTTCATCAGCTGAGCTATAGATACAAGAGGAGAGCCAGAGGGGAAGGGTTGCGGGAAGGGAGTTGCGCTGCATCTTGTGTGAGGTTGAACGAAGCAAAGAGCTAGGGTGCGTACACTGTATACTTTAAATATCCACGCCGGTGTACCTGTACGTTTTGGTTGTTTTTAGAGACGATGGCAAGCCAATGAATGCGAACGAGTAGTTCTCTGACTGCACTCTCGGCCGGCTTGAAAGAGCCAGCCTGCATTCACCGTGAATCTCTCTTGACGCCATCGCCCTTGGAGCATCTTGCCTACCGGACAAGGGGATTCTGGCAGGGACAATCATGTTATGGACATGGACGCATTTCACTTTCACCTTTGGATGGCCAAGCTGGTTGAAGACACGCCCATCGGAGGCAATTACTGGCTCCAAGAGGCGTCAGGAATCAAGCCGAGAATGTCAGTGGAATTGCCCTTTTCAGACTGAAAAAGGCCATGTGCTCAAAGCGTGCAGAGAACAATCCCATCTGGTTTCGTCATTGCAACTTTGGCGACTAACTACTGCACCTAGTGGTGGGGGAGGGCCTTAGGTACCTACCTATGTGCTAGGTACCCCTCTAGCTGCGCTGACACCCCGACGGCCCGGAACGCTGGGCATCCATCGACCACGGCGGTCGGTCTACACGTGGCCCCGGGTGGACCACTGGCAAAAGATTCAATCGAACCCGGGTCATTCCCACAAGTCATTTGGTCAGCTTAGCGAAATGCTAATAGGTGGCCCAGTCTCCTACTCTGGCAAAGTGCGCTAATGCACGCTGCCCTTAACCCAATGGAATCCGCTCTCTACGCTACAGCTACCTGACTTTAGGTAGGGACTGAAGGATGTCCTGTCGTCTTATCCGGGCCAGGGCGCACTTAACAATGATTGGACCGATTACCCGTCAACTCCAATAGTTTAGTCGGTCCCATCCAATTATTCCTCATTTGAGCAACAACGCCTGAACCTCGTCCCCGGAGCAAAGTCGGGTGAGAGAGCCAGACGCCGACCGACCTGCTGTCACCCACCGCACCTAAACTTCTCCAACCACAAATCCAAAAGCCCAGTCGTCGCGCGACTACCCACCGACGTGCATCGCCGACTCTCAACCCATACTGCTCTTGCCCGCCCACTGCCCCTGTTGTGCAGATATTCCTCGTCTTTTGTTTTTCGTTCTTGGTTTTTTGGGATTTTTTAGAAGAAGCCCGCAACTTTTTTGCCTGGGTCCTGCGCCACTGCTCAAACTACCTTCTGCCAGCTAACTTTGCGCTTGGCTTCTGAACAGCCGTTTTGCTCCACCACTTGCCGGGTTGGACAGGAGAAACCTCCAGACCACGCAACGACGAGGACGACAACGCCAACGCCGCTGACACGACAGGATACGACACGACAAGCCGGTTTGCCGCACCGACCTGCCACCATGGCCGACGACCCTCAGCCAGGCAGTCCAAAGTCTGACCCGATCTATGCAAATGAAGACGCTGAGACTGCTGCTGCCCGCAAAGAACTGAAGCACACGGCTATTTCAGAGAAGCCGTCCGCAGATGGAACCACCGCCGAGACCACAGGCTTGGTGCTGCAGAACGATGATCACAAGGAGCGCCCTTCGTCACCAAAGAAGAAGCGGGCACACGACCAAGTAGACGAGGACAAGGATGTTGACGAGTTTGATGACAAGAGCATCGCCTCAAGCGACTCGGCGAAGGATAGAACTGCGCGACTTGAGCCCGAGAAGAAGAGACACAGGGACGAGGTCGCTACCTTGGCTGATGCTGTACCCGATTCCTCTGTGTGTTTTCCCCTCTGCCGCCTCGTTGACATGGTCATACGTACTGACGCTACGTTACTCTGTTAGGCGCCACCCACTGCTGCTACCGCTGCGAACTCGGAGGCGAACGAAATCGTCACTACTCAAGGCATATCTACGACATCACAGGGTCCTATCAAGGACGAAAAAAGAGGAGCGTCGACTTCCGCCTTTGCTAGCTCAGGCTTTGCCAAACTCGCAGCCTCGAGCGCATCCCCGTTTGGTTCGCTGGGGAGTGCAACCAAGGGAAGCGTGTTTGGCGGATCAGCATCTTCCACCTCGCCCTTTGGTGGGTTGTCCCCTGCCAAGCCTGCCACCCCCGCTCCTGCTCCTACACCTGCTCTGAGCTTCGGCGGTACCAGTGCAGCATCCTCGCCCTTTGCCAGCGTTAAGCCCACCGGCACAAACGGCGGTTTCGGTTCGGCGTTCGGCAGTGCCTTTGGCGGAGGTCTGGGCAGCAAGCCCCTTACTAGCTTCTCTAAGACGGGCGAGTCCTCTTTTAAGACTGAAAAGGCAACCAAGCCATTTGGTGCCCCCGATAGCGATGCGGACGAAGGCAGCGACGAAGACGCGGATGACGTCGCCGAGGCTGCCTCAGAATCTGGCGACAAGGATGAAAAGGAGGAGTCTGATAAGGAGGAATCCAAGGCTGTGGACGATAAGAAACGTACCAAGCTGCAGAAGAGTGAGTGGACGCTGTTCAACCTATGATTCGCAAACTCACTAACTGGGCACAGTCACTGTCGACGATGGCGAAGCCGGTGAAGCAACCATACTCCAGGTCAGAGCTAAAATATTTTATCTAGAGAAAGAGGTCGGTTGGAAAGAGCGTGGATCCGGCATGCTCAAGATTAATGTTCCCGAGGCGTGCGTTCAGTTTGACGAGGCCGGGTTGCCCTTGCCTGGTTCTTTTGACGCATCAGGCCTGGAAGAGAATCCCGAGGCTGGCGACAACAAAGGCCACAAGGTGGCTCGTCTCATCATGAGACAAGACCAAACACACAGAATACTTTTAAACACGGTCATTCTGCCCGTTATGCAGTTCCAGGAGAAGGCGACGTTGAAGTCTGTTGGGGTCATGTTCACGGCTTTCGAGGGTGTGGAGGCCAAACCTGTGAGCGTTCATGTCAGGGTATGTGGTCACCGGCGCCGCCGGCTTCTAGTTTGATGCTGCTTGCTAACTCTTGTTGTGTAGATGAGTGCCGCCAGTGCAAAGTCATTCCTTAATGAAGTAGGAGTGATACAGAGAGAGTTATCGGGCAACTGAACACCTGGACCCCCAGGCATAGCGGTCTAATGGGCATCAAGTGGCGTTGCAGGCCGTGCACGTTTGTAAGACGATACAGATCCGGACGCATGGTATCACACAGGGAGGGCTGGCGTAAGCATTTCTGAAGGCGGGAGAGGGCCGGAGAAGATACAGGCATACAACCGGCGGGATGGCAGAGACTTGTTCTAGGGGGGCGGCGGTCACTTCAGTTTGACTATGCAGCGCATTTCAGTCTCAGGTCGCTAATCTACCGCGATACCAGGAAAGAGGGTATATCTCGGTACTTTAGGTATCAATCAAGCAAATATTAAATGAGACCTACCCTCACTAGGTATCAGACTGCCTTGAAGAGCGCGAGGACTGTAGGATGGTGGTAGTCAAGGTGCACCCGGCCCACGTGACTTGGTGGGGATTACGTGACGCAGACGACTCCCTTCATCCTGACGCTGTGGCGTCGCCAATCCACTGATTCCCCCCATATGGGGTTCTCACTTTACAACAGCAAGCTAGGTGCAAGCTTGCCCACGAACTTACCATTTCCCAGAACTCTTCCTAGCTCAACTGCAACTTTCTACTCATGCTTAGGAAGGGACGGCCTTTGGAGGGCCACTGAAGCTCTGCGAACATGCAGTCCATCCCACCCGATGAGGAGCTGCCTGCAGTCCAGAAGCCACGAGGGAAACGGAAGAGACTGGAAAACGAGATGCCTATGGCAGTCGAAGGTAGGACAGCTGCTGTAATACCAGCAGACGACACATCAAACACCGAAGATAGTGCCACCAAATCCAAGAAACGGACAGCATCAAAGAAGGCTGAATCAAGTCTGAATCGCGCGGATAGCGCAGCATCCGTTGTAAACTGCAAGATGGAGTGGCCCGAACGCTTCAGAGCACTGGAAAAGACGCATCGTGCCCTCAACCTTGTGTTTACCTTCTGCTGCACCCGAAAGCACCTTGCCACCACCTTCGACACGATCAAGTCTGCGGTGGAATCACACACCAAAACGTCCCTTACGATTGAGGATGTTGCAGCCATTGCCTCTATTCGCCCCGAGGGCGTCAATTTTGCCTATGTCGACGAGATCATGCTGCAAACCGAAGTCCGAGGTGCAGAGCGGGACGTGGTGTTCAAGAAAGGGCGTGATTTTCTCTCGCAGGCGCCCGCGCCCGATGCCTCCGTTGGAGGGATCTCGGGCCTAGATAAGTTGGATCATCACCCTGACGACCCTGTTGAAGGGGGAAGGGAAGTGTTGTATTTCGAGTTCGTGGACGGAGACCTAAAGCGGCAGGTCAGGGACAAGAAGACGGGCGAGATCACCAAGCCCAACAGGAAGTTGAGAGACGAGACCCTTAAGATGCCCGTCTACAGCCAAAAGCAGATGACAAACTTAATTGAGCGGCGGAATCAAAAGTTCGGCGACGCCGTTAGCCTGTTCCTCAACCAATGCGTAGCCGAGGGTGTGGATCCCGAGCTGAGGTTGGCAAAAGCGACTGAGGCTCACATCCCACTGCCGACGATGCCAGAGCCAGTGGACAAGAAACTCGGGGCATTACCGGAATCGATACCGACAGAGCGCAAGAGCATTCCCGAAATCGTTCAAGAGCTCAAGGACAGTCCCTGGTACACGGGACAGATCGTCCCTGATGGGCATCGCGTGTTTGAGCCGCAGGAGCCCGTCTACGGTGACCTTAACTTCCTTCTCAGCCAGGATCTTGTTAACGCACTATACAATTCCAAGGGGATAACCCAGTTCTTTGCGCATCAGACGGAAGCCATCAATGGTCTGCTGGAGGGGCAGCATGTCGTTGTTTCCACATCGACGAGCTCTGGCAAGTCCCTCATCTACCAGCTCCCCGTGATCTATGCGTTGGAAAAGGATCGCAACACCCGAGCAATGTACATTTTCCCCACGAAAGCTTTGGCGCAAGACCAGAAACGAAGCTTGAGGGAGCTGATGAGTTACATGCCCGGCATGGAGGAGGTGGTCGTTGAGACTTTCGATGGCGACACCCCGATGAATGAGCGAAACCTGATCCGGGAAGAGGCGAGGATCATCTTCACCAACCCGGACATGCTCCATATAACCATTCTCCCGCAGGAGGAGAGGTGGAGGACGTTCCTGAAGAACCTAAAATATGTCGTGGTGGATGAGCTGCATTACTACAACGGGCAGATGGGCTCGCATGTGGCCTTCATCATGAGGAGACTACGACGAGTATGCGCTGCTATTGGCAACCGACACATTAAATTCATTTCTTGTTCTGCAACAGTGGCCAACCCAAAGCAGCACTTTGAGACCATTTTCGGTATAGAGAACGTGCGGCTAGTGGACTTTGATGGTTCTCCATCAGGTGTGTATTCCAGCCTCGCCTCAAAACCAGTGTATTTTCCACTCACGTCGAACAGGCCGCAAAGAGTTTCTGTGCTGGAACACGCCGTACAAAGACCCTGGGGATCCAGCGAGTGGCAGGGGCGACGCAATGTTCGAATGTGCCCGTCTCTTCTGTCAGCTCATGCTCAGAGGCGTTCGAATCATTGCCTTCACCAGGGTCAGAGAACAATGTGAGAAACTGGTCACCGCTGTACAGCAGGAACTCGAGTCTCTTGGACGACCAGAATGCGTCAATAGAGTCATGGGCTACAGGGGCGGTTACACCGCTCAAGACAGGCGGAAAATCGAGTCGGAGATGTTTGAAGGCAAACTCTTGGGTATTGTCGCGACTACTGCGCTGGAGCTGGGTATCGACATCGGAACCTTGGACTGTGTGCTGACTTGGGGGTTCCCATACACCATAGCCAACTTGCGTCAACAGAGCGGCCGGGCCGGACGAAGGAACAGAGACTCATTGTCGATCTTGGTCGGGGATTGTTTCGCTACAGACCAACATTACATGCAAAATCCCGACGAGCTCTTCTCGAAGCCAAATTGTGAGCTTCAGGTCGACCTAGAGAACATGCTGGTGCGGGAGGGACACATTCAATGTGCCGCATACGAAATGCCAGTGAGGCCGGTTGAGGATGCAGAGTATTTCGGCAAGGACTTACCTCAAATATGCGAAGAGAGGCTTCTCAAGGACGCCTTGGGCTTCTACCATTGTCACGATCGATTTCGACCCATCCCTTCGAGATTTGTTGCCATTCGCGATACCGAGGATGAATACTTTGCCATCATCGACATTACTCATGGAAGGAACGAGGTCTTGGAGGAACTAGAAGCTTCGAGGGCGACGTTCACGATCTACGACGGTGCTATTTTCCTGCACCAGGGAAATAAATACCTCGTCAGAGATTTCCAACCTGAGAAGATGATGGCACGAGTAGAAAGAGTCAAGGTCGAGTGGACCACGACGCAACGAGATTTCACCGATATCGACCCGATCGAGACGGAGGCCATCAGAAAGATCTCCGGGTCCCTGTCTAGGGCGTTTTACGGAACAATCAAGATCCAACAGAACGTGTACGGATTCTTCAAGGTCGACAAGAAGAAGCGCGTGCTCGACGCTGTACACGTGGACAACCCTCCCGTCATCAGGTACGGCAAGGGAATGTGGCTTGACATACCCAAGAAGGCCTTACAGATACTAGCAGACAGACGCCTTCACGTCGCCGCGTCCATCCACGCGGCGGAGCACGCCATACTTAGCCTCATGCCCAACTTCGTCATCAGTTTGCCCGGCGACGTGCGGACGGAATGCAAGGTGGCTCTGAAGGAGTTCGCCAAAAAGGAGTCGCAGAGGAAGAGACCCGGACGGCTGACCTTCTATGACGCCAAGGGAGGGGCCAGCGGATCCGGGATCAGTACCAAGGCATTCGAGCACATTGATCACCTCCTCCAGCAGGCTCTCAAGCGGATCGAGAACTGTTACTGCGAGAACGGGTGCCGAGAGTGCGTCGCGTCGGACCAGTGCAAGCAGGCCAACGAAGTGATGAGCAAGGCAGGCAGCCAGGTCATTCTCAAGGCTCTTTTGAACCTTGATATCGACATTGAGGCGTTACCAATGGGACCTGAGGAGTACAGTCCGGCGGGCATTGAGACGGTTGTCGTTGCTCGGACTGTGCCAGCGAAGGACCGGAACAGCCTTAGGGTGGTTGAGATTAAGGATGAGGAATTCGAGGATCGTGATTCGGTGCTTTTGGAGGAGGCTGAGACTTGGGGTGGCTAGCAGGACGAGGGATGAATGTTCGCTAGCGTTTAGTACAAGTCATATAGACATAAGACCAAACCAACCAGGTACAAATCAGATATGGACGAGTGCAAATATGGATTAAGAGATGTGATTGTTACTCATGCTTGATAGTAAGGGATCAAGGATAAGGTGGATCCGCTTTCTAATTTCCGTTTACTACTGATTTTTCTTCTATACGCGTTTCGTCTTACCTGTTGTTGTGGGAAGAGAAGTATGATGATAATGCAGATGGATGATACTCTTACCATGCCTCTAATCCCATCTTGATGCGACCTGGTCTCTTTTTCCTGGCTTGAAAAGAAAAGAATAAGTCTAAGATTGAGCGAGACTTCTGTCTTCACTATAAGGCATCTTATACTATTTCCTTGGTTTTGAAGGGTTCAAGATGCTCTTGCCTAATCAACCAGCTTGCCTTCACACTTAGATAGTCCTTGAAAGGTAAGTGCCTTACACGTGAATACGTTCATTGCAACAACCCTTTCCTTCCCTTTTTGTACCGCCCAACTGCTGCCTGCTACTTTGGTCTGGAGTTTCGGCCCATCTTTCTATCTTTTCTCCCCTTATATAATCCTTACTCTTCTCTCATTTCCCTCATCTACTTGCATACTCTTTCTTACTCCTCACAGGCAATCTATAAACAGCAGCTTGTTTGTCCACTCACACACACATACGAATTGCTTCCTTGATGCAAAAGATTGATGCTTTCTGCAAACCACAAAAGCTTTCTCACATCAGGTTGGCTGTTCATCCAGCACATCTCACTACTTCCATCTCATCTTACCTTCTTCTATCCGACCTGGCTGTCTCTACCTGGCTCATAAATATCCATCTGTTGAATCATCGCCTCCTTGTCACAACCGTTTCCTATCACCTGCAACAAAATCACGGTTTTCAGAAAGAACTTCTTCACATACACTCAAACCAAAGTTCGACAATCACCAAATCCCCAGAAAACAGTTAGTGAGTAAGTTTACATTCTTCATTGTTGTTGATGTTATTGCTAACAAAGACTAGAAATGCCTGTCAGCAACATATCTAACGCCAACCAAGCTGATCATGGCCACAGTGCCCAGCAAGACCAAGCCCATCAAACCGGCGCTCTTATTCCACCTGTCAACCTTGTCCAAGGCCAGGCCCCTGGAACCGCCCAGGAACAGCCTCCCGTTGCTCAAAACGCCATTATCCTAGCTCAGGCTCTCAAACCTAGCGTGCAACCTCTGGGACGACTTAGCACAACTATGCTCACAGCTGCCAACTATGGTTCTGCTGACAGTTCCCCAAATAATGGCTCAGTTCCTTTCAATACCGCTGAAGCAGGTGCAGGCCGTGGGGTTGTCGCGCCTTCCAGAGGAGGAGTTCATCAGCGACAGTATCATCCCATGAGAATGGTCTTTCAACCCATAATTCGATACAATAATTCAGACCTCGAACGTGCCTTCCGTCAGGCCAGGGGATTTTCGGACCAATACCGCGGCGATGTATTCAATGACCGTAACATGAGTGTCAACATTCCGGCCCACGAGAACACATCGCTCTGGATGGAAGGCCTTCCGGCTGGTTGTACAACCCAGCTGCTCCTTGGAGCAGTTGCCCATGTTGGATCGACAGGCAAGATATGGGCCTCCTACATCAATCCAGCCAACGCCGCTGACAACAAGCCGTATGCGGCGGCAAAGATCGTATTCTTCTCTCGCGAAGGCGCAGAGGGCCTGCTTAGGGCCAGCCATAACGGCAGGTTCCTGGTAGGCGGCCGTCGTCCACGCGTCACTTGGAACCGAGTCAAGACAGCAAGCCGAGGTGCCAGGGACAGCCAGAAGTCTCGAGTGGTTTTGATCCGCGGCCCAGCCGAGTACGTCAACCAACCACGGCTGAGCCAATGGTTTAGAGGGTTCTTCAGCTTTGAGACCGAGGTAGTCATCCCGCGCGACTACCGGGTCAATGAGAGAGGTCAGGCCATACAGCTCTTGGAGTGGCGGTTCGCGAGCACCCGCTGTCAAGGTGAAGCGGCATCCATGGCGATTGGCTTGGAGCTACGTGGAATGGTAGAATGCCGCTATGGATAGGACCCTTGTGCGTGAGCACCGTTTCCCACCAACTCGTCATCGAGACCCCTTTCTTTCGGTTCCGTCCCGGGTTTGACCTGGTTCGGAGGTTTCTGTTTTCGTTTCTCATTTTCCCGTGGCTTTTCAGACGCCGAATGGACACAGGGCGAAGGATTATAATAAGGGAAGGTGGTGGCAAGCAGGGGAAAATGGAGAGGCTCAGGGGAAGAAACCAAGCCTATAGTGAACTTGAGACTGCCGTTTGGGATTCGATTTGCGTGCGTTAGATTACATTCAACTGCTAGGTAGACAAGTACCACCAAAGACCATCTGTGATTATCAAGACAGACGAAATGCCTCGTGGGTGACGAGGGGAAAGGATGAAAAAAGCCTTTGCCAGGGCAGCAAGATGGAGCGGATTGCTGGTGTTGGAAGATGTATGTGTGACAGGTTTCTTAGCCTCTTTGGGTGCTCGTGGCGTCAGCTTGGTATCTTGTTGGGAGGCTCTTGACTTTAGATGGCCTGGTAGCAGGTTGTCCAGGGTCTCGCTGTAGCGTCAGTGCTCGGCGGCCTCTCACCGTGGTCGCAGGTTAAGTTGCTAGGGATGTGCTGCAATTTGGTGCATCAATGCAGGCCATCGCCTCTGCCCGCTGCATAACAGCCCAGATACTTGTGTACAAGCCTTGGAGGCCGCGTTTTGCGGGCGCTGGTGGAGGAGGGGAGGGCTCTTGAGAATAAGGAAATCTATTAGTAGGCGATGTCAGACTGGTCATCATGACGACCAAGAGCAAGTGTTTGGAGTTTGAAGTCACAAGGCTTGGCAAGCAGCGTCACAGCACCAACGAGAGAGCCGACCAGTCAGTCACATCCAGCCAGTCAGTCGGCTGAGAGATGTGGCTGGATGGGACTGCCTTGGGGGGAAACGCTTTTGCTCCACGACTGGGTCCTGCGGGGGGCCTGAAAGCTTGTGACGTTGTTGGGCCTCTACCCCTGCCTCTCATCACCGCCTCTTTACGGGCGCTACGAAGCTTGGGACGACGACAACAGCAACAACATTCGGAACCCCCGGTGTCCTTCTCTTCCCCCTCAGCACAAATGAGGGAAACATGGATTTCGCGTCAGCCTCATTTGCGGGCCGCAGCAAGGTATTATCCATACGAGGTTTCACGGCTCTTCGAAAGGGCCATAGAATGTTACCGGGTGTACCCATACACGGCGATCCGAGCATCCAACTCGTCCACTCGTCCTACAATGTACCAGGATCCTGTCAGAGGTCTTGGCATGACAGCAAGCCTGACCGTGCCTTGATTCACGCACACCACGGTCATCCACGTTCTATGATTGCCCACAACATCTCTCTCGCCTCTCCCTCCATCAACCTCTAACCCTTCTTGTAGCGCCTCGCCTGTGAAAAGTTAAAGTGTATCGAGTGTTCCCCTGACGATGGCGCCCACTCTTTTCGACCCTTTTTGATGCTCATCGAACTTGTTGGAAGCCGTCAAGTCGGATTGACAGGTTGGACCAGATTGCCAGCTCTCGGTTCTCGTTCCGCCATAACAACAAGACGCCAATCGGGGATCTATATCTACTCCCCGTCGGAAAACAATAACAACAACAGCAGCAGCAGTAGCTGCTGCCACAGTAGCAATCACGAGAGAAGCTGAAGTTGAAACTCTCTCGCCCGCAACCCCAGTCACGGCCCAGCCCAGCCACCCTTCTGGACCAGACACCCTGGTTACCGCTGAGAGTCTCGACCCGGCGGACTGGACCATTTTCACCAAGACTGGAGAATAAGGGCCCTTATTTCCCTGTCTCTTGTCACCATCTCTTGGCCATTCACATTCGGACACACTTTCGAGACCCTTGGTATTGGGGCTGTTCTGTGCACACATCACCGTCGACTATCCCGGCACCGCGGGCCTACCCGCTTGGCTACACCTTCTCTACGACTACTACCTATATACCCTCCCATACTTTTGTATTCTTGTCGTAGCGACCGTGTGTTTGCCTTCCTCGCTCAATCAACGTACCGTCTTGTCCAGTTAGACGTCCCGATTCGGTCATGTCGGCTCCTCGATCCCCCTATCGTCAAACCCATCGCCAGTCGGCCGGCCCACGGCGACGAGAATCGAACCACCCCATCATCTCGCCCGAGAAGGCGCGCACCTCAAGGTACGCGGTCGGTGAGGAGCTGCCCGTCCACCATGGTCGCCATCACCGAGCCCCTCCGCCGGGAAGCAGAGTCAAAGTAAAGCCTTCAGGCGAAAGCGGCCGCACAGGCTTCCATCCCTTCAAGTTTCTCAAAATTACTTGGAAGTCCTCAAGCCGGGCGTCCCTCGTTTGTAACTTCTTCTGGCCCGTGGTCCCCGCCGCCTTTGCCGTTCGTTGTAAGCCGTCCATGATGTCGGAGGTCTAGACACCGGCAAAACTAACACTTTATGGACAGACAGTCGCCCACAAGACCACGTCCTGATCTTCATACTTACGTACTTGTCCATGATTCCCTGTGCCAACATGGTCGGTTTCGCCGGCCAGGAACTATCGCGTAAGGTTAGCCACGTATTCGGCGTGTTGATTGAGACGACGTGAGCCACTTACCTCCCTCCCACGAGTATGCGTGCTTCTTACTTACATATATCTACGTTCTCAGCTTCGGGGGCATCGTTGAAGTCATTCTCTTTATGATACTCTTAAAAGGCGACCAGTTCACTGTCATTAAGGCTGCTATTCTCGGTTCGATATTAGCGACGATGCTCCTGTGTCTGGGATTATGCTTCATTGCCGGCGGCATACGACGAGACGAGGCTGAGTTCAGTGAGACTGTCAGTGAAGCCGGCAGTGGCTTGCTACTCACGGCGTAAGTGGAACCCGCCTAGTCTGGACATCTTGACTAGTTACTGACCTTTTTTTATAAACAGAGGGGTCGCCTTGGCCATTCCTGCCCTCTTTAGTTACTCCATGGCCAAGTCGCTTACGGTTGAGGAGCTCGACAGCAAGACGCTGCATATCTCACGACTTGTGTCTGTCTTGCTTGTTATAGCTTATGGTGTCTTTGTATTGTTCCAGGCCCGGACGCACCACGGCATCTACGATGCCATCTTCGAGCGTGACGAGCAGCGCGACCGTGACAAGCACAATGACATCAGCAAGCCCAAGCTGACGCTGACCGAGTGCATTGTAGCCCTCGTCATCTCCATCACGCTGGTGGCATTTATGGCCATCTATCTTGTCGAGCAGATCCATCCCATTGTGCTGAGGCATGGTATCTCAGACCATTTTATGGGCCTCATCCTCGTGCCTCTGGTGGAGAAGGCCGCCGAGCATCTAACGGCTGTCGACGAAGCATGGGATAACCAAATGAACTTTGCCCTCTCCCACGTCCTGGGCGCCACACTGCAAACATCCCTGCTCAACGGTCCGCTCGTCGTTATTGTCGCCTGGGCCTGGCATAAACACATGGATATCGTTTTTGAGGTCTTTGATATTGGTATGCTTATCCTGTCCATACTGACGGTCGGCAACTTCCTGCGCGACCAGAAGAGCAATTACTTGGAAGGCTTCCTATGCGTTATCGTCTATCTCGCCATCGCCGTTGCGGCCTTTTACTACCCCAACCCGGAGGGTCTCGGCGAGCACTAAGTGTTTGAGGGAATCAAAGGCGGCGATGTTTGACGGCATTTATGAAAGAAGATGTGCATACGAACCAGCTAGATTTCTTTCTATGTCTTTTCTTATTGTGTATTAGCCGGTGTTTGTGGTGTTTTAATGGTAACAAGAGCCTCTTACGAATAGCAGATAAAATGGCAGATAAAATGGCAATCGTCCGTATATGACCCGATCCGATCCCCCGCACAAGATCCAGCAGGGCGCTGTTGACGATTCGTCTTGTAGCTACGTCATGTAGGGCGCATTTCCGGCTTGACGGACAAAGGCAAAACCAAAACCTCCCAACAGAATGGAACGGAGTTGATCGCAGGGTGCCGTGAGGGTATTTGTATTCCAAAACACTTGTGACGGGAAAAGATAATGATCCCATCTCTACGCCCGTTCTGGTACGTTTCAGCACCCCGAGCCGCGTGCAACTCGCATTGTGTTCGTTGTCATGATGGAGGTGTAAATCCCTTCAGTTCCCCGCGGAGATGCTCCCAAAACGCCAAATAGAGACACGCTGATAAGCACACCGAACGCCCGTCCCATGTAGTCCCCACCCCCACCACACCTCCGATCTTCTACCCAAGTTTCAGCCGCTCAAAACGGAGTACGGAGATGCTCAATTCTCCTCCATCTTCCCATTCTCGATCAGCCGGAACCCCCCCACTCGCCCTCCTTACCTCCACATACCCCGTCCCAAGACGTCTAGTCGTCCGAGGAGATACCCAGCTTGGGAATGTTTGACCCTCCATCTGTTCACCAAGCGACACAGAAGCGACCGACTTAGAAGAAGACCAAGTCGTTATCCTTCCAGCCAAGACCCCCAAGGGTGATGCGCACGCATGCCTCCAAGGCCTCGGGCCCGCACACGAGGACGAGCTCGTCGCCACCCGCTTCGTTGCGGCACGTGCCCACCTTGTCCGCAAAGAAGTTGCTATCCATTCGACCTACGAAGCCTGTCCACGACGCATCGGGCTTCGTGAGCGAGTAGAGCAGGCGGCACCTGTCCGGGTTGGCCGCGGCCATGGCGTCGAGCTCCCCGCGGCAGAGTATGTCCTCCTCAGCGCGGTTGCCGTTGAGCAAGAGACACTTCGTCGGGTCGGCGGCGTCCTTCATGACGGCCCGCAGGACCTGGAAGATGGGTGTGATGCCCGAACCCGCGCAGATCATGATGAAGCGCTTGATGGCGCGCTGCGACCTGCCGGTAATGGAGCAGAGCCCTTTGCCAAGATACTCGAACTTGCCGACGGGGCCCTTGAAGTCAACAAAGTGGCCAATGGGGATGGAGTTGAGGGCCTGCGTCATCTTGCCGCCCTTGCGATCCGGCGTGTCGTAGTAGATCTTGACGAGCAGGTCGAGCTTTCCCTTTTCGGTGCCCTCGGAGATGGGTGTGTAGGCGCGGATGATGGCCTCGCGGGTGACAGGGTCGCGCAATCTGATCATCAGGTGCTGGCCGACCGGCAGGCCAACCATCTGACCCGGGTGCTCGAGCGTGAAGGTGAAGATCTTCGAGTCGGACGAGACGTCCTTCTTCTCCGAGAGGATACCCTTGGCCCAGGTTTTGGTCTGCAAAAAGACGGACCGCGACGTCTTGTCATCGTTGTCTGGCACGATCTCGCCTTCGGCAAGCTTTTTCCGGCTAGCTTCCTCTAGTGTGCCGATGTGATAGTCGGGCATCATCTTCTTAGCATTCTCGCTATCTGTAGTGGCGGCTCGTTAGCAGATGCATGGGCTGCGTGGCGAGGGTATTGACTTACGGATGGTTAAGAACTCCTCCGATACGTCTTGGCCGGCGGCGCCAAAAATGGAGGCGGCGCCGCCGGGGTGGCCCTCGAGGAAGGGGGTGCCGTCGTAAACCTCGCCGTTGATGACAAACCACGGCTGCTCCTCACCGTCATGCTGGCGTAGCTCCTCAATAGTGATGTTGCGCTTGACGCCGTCCTTGATCATACAGGTCTCCTTGATCTCTTCCGGCACGGTGGCGCTGTCGGCCTCTCCTTCGATTTTCTCGCCCCAGAAGCCGTTGGACAGATTGCCTCCCGCCTTTTTGACGCGCTCCATCCATCCACCGGGAATGAGTGCCGGCTGAGTCGGGTGCTCGAACCGAAGGCTGTGTTCCTCCTTGTGGATGACCACTCGGAACCACGGGTTGTTCATCATGCCCAGTACAGTCCAGTACATGTCTCTCGGCTGCACCAGCATGCTCTCGTCCATAGCACGGACCATGATGTCTGCCGCATCGGCAAGCTGAGCGATAGGGATGTCCAGGGTCCAGAAGCACCAGCAGAAGCTAGTCTCCCTCCAGTCCATATCGACCCTGCCGCCGTAGAGGGTCTCTCCCTCGGGAGCTAGTCGATATGTGTCTTCGGGATAGTCAATGTTGGCAAGGAGCCAAGTCTTGCCGCGGTCCAGGGTAACTTCTACCCTTGTGATTCTCCTGCCACCACCGCCGTATGCGTAGCCGCGCACTTTGTAGGAATTTGGCCCGTCGACCAACGCAACAATCTCGTCGTGGGCGGGGTAACAGGTGGCGCTGTTTGCGTTGAGGTCGTAGATGGCGTATCGCTCGTCCTTCCATACCTCTGGCAGGTCTGCACTGGCGTCAGGGGAGACCGTTGTAGGAAGCACTCTGTTGTCGTAAATGTGGTACCAGTTGTTGCTGGGCTCCTTGGTGACGATGATTCTCTTCAGCCACTTGACACTCCTGCCGCCTATCTGACCGGGAATGATGATGCGGACAGGCTTGCCGTGGTCAGGGTGCAGCAGCTCGCCGTTCATGCGGTAGCATACAGTCACCCCGCGGTTGGGGTCCATGCACCAGTTGAGCTTGATGCTCGTTCCGTAGTAGCCGTTGGGTAGCTTGTCGGCGCCCTCGAAGCAGACGTACTTTGCACCTCGCTTAGGAATCGCCCGGGCAAGGAGGTCGCCGATCGACACACCGGTCCAGAGAGCTGTTGACAAGCCGCCGGCGCCCCACGAGAAACCTTTCGATTTACGGACCACGTTCTGCTCCTTTCGGCGGTTTCCAGCGCAGACCAAGGTGACCGGGTAAGTGATTTGTTCGTAGTCCGAGATGAGATCTCTTAGCGTCATCTTGATGGGTTTCTCAACCAGACCCTCGATTGTAAATTCCCAGTCAAACATGTCCTCATCGTCGACTTTGGGTACGGCTCCATGGTTCCGAACATAGTGCAGGTCCTTGGTGGTGATGAAACCTTCATCGTACAAGTCGCTCAAGGGGGCCTCGACGTTGAATGGGTGGATTCCGGTCAGGCGTATTAGTCGAGGGTCCCGGGTAACATGGTTGTCTGGTGTCTTCAAATCCTCGGCCAGGACCTTGTTGGTTCTTGATTTGGGAGGCAAGGGATAGCTGCGAGGACCCTCGACGCTAGACTCGCCCAGTAGACCTCCCGAGACGTAATAATCCGATCCGCCGTCGACGCTGTAGGATAGACCCTCCCTAACTGTGGTAGCCGGACTCGGAGGGAAGCCAAGATCTGTCTTGGCGAAAGTTTCACTGAAGGTAACGGGGACAGGAGAATGAATGAACTCCATCGTGACGAGGATCACTAATCAGAGGGAGATATCGAGAGAGGGAGAGAGATGGGATGCATTTTGTGGAAGCCGGACAACGATGTGAATAAGTACCACATATTGAGTAGGCTGGCGGATGTGAGATTTGGATTTCCTGGAGCCGGAGTTGGGTGGTTGTGGTGTGGGCGGATCGGACGCACGTCAGATGGGACGGGTAGCATGGGATGGGCTGGTACAACACCGCATTACCGGATGGGGTGACGCTAGGGCAAAGCAGACCAAGAGATGACGCTGCCCCGACTCGCCTTGAGGCGGGCCCATGTTTGGGCAATTCCTCAATGGTCGCTTGCTTATACGAATACATGCCATAGGTATTTGAGGTCCTTTGCCCTCTGTGCCTGTGCCAGCCAAGGTCCAAGTACCGTGTAAGTGGAATGCACCCGGCGATCAGGATGCACCAGAAGTAGCTTGACGGGTAAGGCACGGTATTAGGCGAGGAAATGCGATATCCTAACCAGGGTGGTGTGTGTGTGTGTGTGTGTGTGTGTGTGTGTGTGTGTGTGTGTGTGTGTGTGTGTGTGTGTGTGTGTGTGTGTGTTAGGTTTGAATGTTGAAATGTCCGCGGAAGAAGACCAACGTCAAGTCATCAACAGACGCTATTTTCTTATCAGCAGGCGTCATATTCTTTGCGGCCATGGTCTTGACGTCGACCGTTGACTGATGCTATTGGGGCGATAAGGGCAGAAAGCAAGGGGGACGAAGGGAGCCTTCCTAGCGCGGAGATGCGTCAACCGCCAGACTACCTACCTACCTACCTACTACTACAAGTACCTCGGTATGGTATTTCCATCGGCCACCCCCTTGAAGTCCTGGCTGGCCAGATAAGGACGGTTGGACTCGGACCCATGCCTCTGGGCCCGAAAATGGCCCGTTCGAGGGTTCCGGAACAGGCCCTCAGGTCACTAGGAACCATGTCCACCATTTTTGCCGGCTTCTGTGTCGCTTCAATTCTTGCGACGTTTTCTTTTCAAAGGCATGAAAATACGAACGCGAGAGCGTCATGTCATCGTTCTTCATCATTCCGCCAAACGCCCCTTTTACCGTGCCGAGAGATGGGGATTGACATTTGAGTCTCTTCGGACTAATCTCACAGTGCCAGTAGCTTCCTTGGCAATTGTCAGCAAAGGACTAAATGCAGTGGTGGACGCACATCGACCTGAGTATTGCAATACACAGTAAAGACTGCAGCATGTACATGCAGAGCATTGCTCCCATCAATCCATAGATACAATGCACCCTAGTTCGCTAGGGTTCGCCCGGCAAACATCAAAAGTCGGGCGATGGGTCGGAACATGAGGCGAGGCGCCTTGTGTCCTTCCGGATAATTATGCCAACAACGCCGCACGTCATACAACGCAAGAGCCAACGTGACCGGCCGTGAAGAATAGCCCGAG